GCTTTTCTATTCTTGTTGGCTTAGTAATTAGACATTCAAAACCTTGTTCAACTTCCAAATCGAGAAGCAGTTTACCTTCAGGTTTGTCAGGGCGAAGTCTGTTCAGATTTAGGTCGCCAGTAACTACAACAAAATTTCCGTTCAAGCTTGCCCAGTTACAGACATAACTGAGTTCGCTTTCCAACAGTGTTTGATATTCGCCACACAGAGCTCTCGGGGGACGATAAATACCAACAATTACCATATTGTCCATATCTGTTTTGATTTCGAAGGCAATTATTTCCAGTGTCTTAAAGGATTTATCAGGTTTAAGCTGTGTCCTGACTAGCGATTGAGATATTAAAGCCATAATTCCACCGCCGCCCTTTTTCCTATCATTTCGGTAGAGGGAGTAGTTCGGAACTTTGAACTGAGCGTTGGGATAGCTCGCGTCGATCTTGGTCTCACTTACGAACATTAAAGCAAAGGTCAAGGAGTAGTGACGTCACTGGACGGCATTAACGGGCGGTCGATTCAGACGTTACTAAGGGAGTAATAACGACTCGAAGTAATCGGATGAAATTCAGGTTATGGCTCCGTTAGTTTCAAGTGTGCCGTGCCCATCACATGCCATGCCCTCAGGCATCTGTGAAGTCAATAGCCTCCCATTAACTGCTGCATATATGCCTAGGGCTTACACATCTTCGTAGGGAGTTTTAGGAGGTTTTTTACAAGAGGAGGATTTTTACAAGAGGCTAATGGGGATGTGGCGCTGGATGGGTTAGCATTTTCACGACTGCGGTGACTATAATGGGGTAGCATTTTCAATATATTTAGTAGAATGGGGTCGCAAATTTTCGGATTTTTGGGGTAAGTAGGGATTCAAAATGGGAAGATTCTCGTTAAAAAATCAGAAAGTTGTTGTTTATTAAATTTAACAATAAGCTCGTATTGACCGCATTACATTCCGCCGCTTGAAACCACATTGATAAGGTAGATGCATAAATAGAAAGTGACTAAGTTGGGATCGCGAAAATTACATTTTCCAAAAAGTGACTAAGATGGGGTCTATAATTGGCCAAAAAATAGACTATAATGGGGTAGGGGCTCTGAGAGGCCAGCGGCACATACCCAGCAAACATTAACCCAAGTACCCCCCCTAACTCGGGTTCAAAACAAGCTATGGCAGTGCTAAACAAATACACTTGTATTTATGGGTTTTAAATTAAGCTTGAAATTGTTATAATAAATTTCAATACACGCAAAAGATGGGTTTATATCCGGGGAGGGGCTTATAATCGGGTGAATTTTTTTGTTTTCTAGGTAGATGGGCCCGAGTACAAGGGGGTCTTGTAAGAGGCAGTGTACTGTATAGTGTTTTGCCAGGCTTTTCTTCAGGATTACATTGGGAGGCTTAGCGAAGAAGTGGGAGAGAAATTGTCCTTGTTTCCGCGACTGCCACGGGTAAGGTGGGAGGAGGGGGGCAGTTGGGGGGCTTATCTTATAGAGCAGCCCTTTGAATTATTAAGTCATTTCCTTGTCGTGCCCTTTTGAAGGGAAATCTTCTTTGTTTAGGTGTTTCGATACAGTTTTTGGGAGACCATACCGATGTTTTTCAATCACCTTAAAAGTGATTTTATCCTTGTTCGATCACTACAAAAACTAGTGATGGCTAGCATGGCTAGTACATTTTAGTGTGAATTTCATTGCATATTTTGAATGTAAAAACAATGACAATATTCACCTTGAAATGTACTAGCCATCAAGGTATGTATGGTGGTCATTAATTTGGAAGAATTAACATAACGCCATAACAGTGAATGTTGTAAGGCGGATGTTTGGCCGGTTCCTGGGCTAGGTTTGTCTTGAAATTTCAAGGTGTTACAGTAAATCAATCTTAATAAAAGTTTCAGACATTATTATATACATCATGAAGATTATGTGATGATGTTTAAAAAACATTCTCTCGAGCCGTTTTTAAGTCAAAATTTAGAGTAAAGTTGCACTTAGACAGGTGGTTAGAAAACAGGTTAGTTTTCAGAATCTCAAATAAAGAGAATACACCAAAATTTCCCAGCATCAAAATATGAAGTTCAGCAGCCTTCTGACGCTACTTAAGTGATTAATTTGAGTTATTTAGAACTTTTTTATTAAACAATTTATCACGGCTATTGAAAATGTAAGGTTTGAAATACATTTGCGTTTTATTTGAACATAAAGAATTTTTTACCTCTCACGGAGGTTATTTGCTAAACACCACACTAGAAGTTCCTGGTTCCGGATTTTCAGTAGCAGGTCTAGATCGCTCTAAATTCGGATTTTATCGATTTCAAAGTTTTTTGTTTATTGTTGTCATAGTGATATCGATTTTACCAAAACCTGCATTTTGACAAACTTCAACTCTTAGTCAATCACTGATGAAAAGTTTGTAGCCATCGGACAAGGACAAATTCACTTTTAAGGCGAATGAAAAACATCGGTATGGTCTCCGAAAAACTGTTTACTTAATCAAGACGTCCTTTTGTTCTTGGGACATCCTAACTTGATCACAGATAAGACATAATCAGCGGTGATAAACTTTGTTAACTTTCACATTTGTTTATAAACTTGACTTTTCGTAAGCTAGTCAACATCCTTTGTCAAAAGTTATTAAACAATTATTGGTAGAGATTTTTTGTGATATCCAGAATGATCAAGGTCGAGGTAGGGGTTATCAGCCGAAGCGGAAGGCTGAGCCTGAAAACCCTTACCGAGATCTTGATTATTCTGAATATCACAAAAACCGAATCTAATAATTGTTTTATTATGCATTCGACATAAAATGTTTTCAAACTTTGTGCCAACTCCTTAGGTTCCCTCAGTTTTTTCTCTTTCGTGTAATCAGCAAGCAGCTTCTTTACCACCTTCGTCGACCTTTTAGTGCAGTTTGTGAGACCTTGTCTTCAACTATTTTTTCATTGTCTTGCTCGTCAATGAAGCAAACCTGGAAGTCGTGTTTTTGCTTCTTTACTGACGGCAAGCAACACAAAGCGCGCGAACTTGACACGATTACCCTTAATATATAGATTTAGCCAGGGCTAAAAGCGAAGCTCTCGATAATATTTATAGTTTGTTCAAACAAAATATAAAATCGTGTAATGCTAAGCGGCGAAGGCAACGCCAGAGAACGGAGAAAAAACAACAATAGGTCTAATTAGCAAAAAAGCAACTTTGCACGTGCAGCACACTTTTCTTGTACATTTCTTTGCCGTTGTTTTGCATGACCACAACGTGTTCAAACGTGTTCTACTTCACTTTTTTTTTTCACTGCCGCTCATTTTCCCCTTGCATTGGTGGCCGCTAGCATTTCTCATTTTGTCACCGCCGCTACAAAATTTTCATGTTGTTCTTCCAACAAAAAATGTCTCCTTTGTTTTTTATCTCTCGCTCTAGATCTCTGTTGCCCTTTTTCTCGTTGAGTTTCGCTGGCCTGCCTCTTTTTCTCTTTTTCTCTGTCTTTCTCTGGCTCTATATTCCAAATTTGTGGACATGACAATTAATCTAAGCTTAATACTTTAGAAAACACGGATACAGAAACAATTTCCGCTTTTCGGTTTCGTCTGTATTGACTCTTTAGTTGCCTCTGCTTTACAGACGCGGGTGGCTATGCGATTTCCCGCCAAAATAACCTCGAGTTGCATTTGGGTTACCATACCTGTTGATTGAGTTATTTCACATTAGTAAGCCTGTGGTGCGGACGGACGGTCGGGCATACGGTCACGTGATTACCAAATTTTCTCGGATGGGTAGATTACCACATTTTCTTACCCATGGTGCTCCGCAGGCGCGCTTCGTGCGCCAGAGCTCCGCTAAAAATCATGCACCGCGGTCATACATGACATGATTACCCGTGACCTTGAGTGTCCTTGACATGATTATTGTATAATCTGCAGCTAGATGATGTCCCAGGCGCCTCAACAGCAAGTCAGAAATATCAATAAGAAATGCAACTCTTTTTTGATTAAATCCTTGAGGTATACAGCTATTTAAAAAAACAACGTTGTCGGAAGGAAAGCAAAAAGTCTTCAAGCCAAGACTGCAAGGTAATGTGGGTTGTTTCAAATCCGTCTTTTGCTGGCAAACAATCACTCAACTAAACTGGTCGATGATTTTTATTCGTCATTCGTACTAAACCATACTCATCATGATTTTAGTTTTAACAAATGCACAAGGTAACAGAACGTTTCAGAAGAAGTCAGCACCCTTGCTTATTCCTATTTTTTAAAGCAGTAAAGTTGTTCACCTTAGCAAGGAAAAAAGAAACCGAATGTTACATTTTATCAATTTGCATAACGTGGTAACGAATTGGGGGAAAAAAATTAAAGAAACCTTTTTCCAATGGTTCCCACTCAAGAAGTATAATCAAAGCTCGCCAAAGTTTAAAGTGCCTATCACCTAAAATTTTTTATTTCTTATCTGAAACTACACCTTATTAAAATAACTTCTGCGAAAAAACTGTCTTCTAGCGAAGACATTGTGATTCAATCCTTACTTGTAATTGATCTTCTTTATGTACAGCTGGTGAAGGAAAGGTAATGCGAGTTCCTTAATTTACGTCACATGACGTCATATATGAGCCTGCTAGTTTGCCTGATCAGCGGCGCGTGTGTACCGCAAAAATGTGGACTTCAAAAATTGGTTAAAAAATCGCGTTTTGTTGAAATGGCAAAATTTTTTCGCAGAAGTTATTTTAATAAGGTATAATTTCAGATAAGAAAATATAAAATTTTTAGGTGATGGGCACTTTAATGCAGGTAGTATTTTGCACAACACCAGCATGTGAGAATGTGTGGACAACCACATCGCCTTAATTCCACCTCGTTCAAGTTTTGAAATAATGGCGATTTTTCTGGAAATGAATTCTAAAAGACTAGTCTTAAGTAAAAAAAAATAAAAGAAAATTGTGGTCTGCTGTTTACTTCCCGCGTAAGACGTGGACATTTGAAGCCGTAGTCGTGCAACAACGGCCAGGGACAAAAAAACGTGATGGACGTGCAAATTAAGTTGTTGTTTTGCTTATTTAAACCTATTGTTTTACGGGTCTCTTTTGTCGCTATCGCATTTGCTTAAGCTCCCTACTGTTTGAAGGCTCTCCAACCACCTCTGTTTTAAGAGTTTTCCAACGTTTAGAAATAGTCTCACTTACAGAAAGACGTTCCAAACTCGTCTCAGGGACAAACGTGAGTGGCCGCTAAACCCTTACGAGGTCCTATAGCAAGTCATTATAAAACTCCCATATTACCTTTCGGTCTTGGCATGAAGGCTTTTTGCTTTTTTTCCGACAACGTTTTTTGAAATAGTTGTATACGGTGGTCACAAGCGCGTTTGAAACAGATACTTGCTTACATTTATCCGTTTCGGGACACGTGACCTCAAAGATATTAGAGACCTTTAGTATTAGGTTTTTCATTGAAAACTGTCAACCGCTAATCTGACAATGTCACGTGACCCCGGTCTTGCGTTGCCTAGTCCTTAGGCCTCATTATTCCGAGCGGCCAAAGCTTTTCGGGTCACGTGGTCCAAGCGAAAATGTTCGCCTCGGATACGTCACCGAAATTAATTGACCCAGAGAGACTGGGAAAACGCCGTACATGGACTAGGCAAGGACTGCGGTCGAGTTTGCAGTTTGCAGTTCACGTTTGAACGGCAGGAAGGGCATCCAGCGGTAAGTGACTTACGGCAAGGGTTTTTCCACTTAAAATTGTACAGCTTCACGATTAAAGGCACGAAGTAGCTTTCTTTATCCGTCTGCAATGTGCTTGTTTGATTTTTGAACTTGAATAAGTGAATTATCCCTGTTTTTTGGGCTATAAAAGTGATGTACTTTGACTTGACAAAAAAAAAACATGGCGGCATTAAACAATGAACGCCTTGCAAAATTTGAAATCCCGGCAATGTGAAACTGCAAACGCGAAACTGCAAACTGCAGATTGCGGATTCCCATGAAAAACCTAATGATAAAGGTCTTTAATCATAGCCAAACTCACATGCTTGCAGTCTTCGATCCAACAAAATGTTGAAAACATTATAGTATTCCATCTCGTCAAGCATCGTGAGCAAATAACTTAAAGAAACAGATTGGGCGTCAGGGTAGAAATTCAAAGAAATAGTTATTTGCCCACTTACAAGGTCGTCATCAGTACATTTCAAGAAGAATGCAACATCACATTTGCCCAATCAAAATCGTACCGAGTGATCCCCAATGAACACAATCATAGATAATTGCTCAGCCGTCATCTGTACTTTTGCTTATCTTAAATTGTGAGCTATTAAACAGCCCTCAGTTGTGGGGAATCTTGCGATTGCTGCCAACTCAATGATTTTCCCGAAAAAATCCCGTTGAAAAACACTCACAGTTGCTTGGATTTAACACATAATATTTTCCTCTCACAATCACAACGTACTCGGTTTACATCCCAAACTCAACTACTCTGGAATTTTAGAACAATGATACAAAGAAATCTTTTTGCCCGTGTACTGATGAAAATATACTTTTGCTTCATTGGTTAATTGTTCCTTAAAGCGACTGATTTGGCAGATATGCTGAATAATTAGATGTTTGTTTTAGGCTAAATTAACTTTAAAAGGTTTCTTATCTTTGAAGAATGACATCAAAAACTAATTACGACACAAGTTTATTTATAGAGAACATTCATTGCACTTCCCACCAATTTTTTTTAGCACTGTTTAATTATCCGCTTTCAACTTCCCTAGCCCTCGGCAACCTATTTTATTTTTAATGGCAAGCTAATATTAGGTCTATTTTTCAAAAGGTCCCAATTCTCAGTCATGGCCCTTTCAAAGGAATATACCAATGAAGAACTGAACTACTTCAGAATTTGTAAAGTTACTACCGATATACTAGCTGAGGGCCTGAGAGTAATTTTCAAACAAGAGTGGGACAATCAATACAAGTCATCACTCTTGGGAGAATGGAAAGATGATCCTCAGAATGGAACAGACTTTTGTAGCATGGAGTCTCCAGCAAGCAAAAGAAGGAATGGTCGTCTCTTGGCAACCATGAAAAACGGGGATAGAGGGGAATGGGACTGTACAATGTTATTTTACGCCATTCTTTTTTCCGACTGTGTTGGGAAAGGCATCAATGCAGCAGTGAGGACAAATGTGGACAATCTTAGAGAATTTAGAAATGAAGAATTCGCTCACATAACACAAGGCAACCTCTCTGACAAAGATTTTCACATCGCCATTAGCAAAGTTCACATTGCTTTTCAAGCGCTTGGTCTACCTACTGCTCAAATTCAGAACATAAAAAATCAGAGAGCTTTTCCTACGGAAGAGTTGCGAAAGATTCAGAAACAGGTTGACGATCTCAAACGGGACCTTCAAGAAACGGAGAATAAGAAAACAGTTCTTGAACATCAGCTCCAGAAAGAAGCACCCTCATTCTGCATTATTCCACCTAAACCTTCTCACGAAGTTGGAGGTTGTGATCGTGAGGTAGCTAAGATAACCCAACAGCTGAGAGAGCTTAAAGAGGCTAATGATAACAAGTTAAGTTATCTTTACATCTCAGGAAATCCTGGAAGTGGCAAATCGCAGCTAGCTGGCCTCGTAGCTCAGAATTTCTTTGATGAAGTCAAAAAAATACCGGAAGCTTCTTCATTTGTGATGACCCTAAATGCAGCAAGCCTAGATTCACTTTTGGAATCATACGCCTCCTTTGCTCGTCAACTCAAGTGCCCGGAACACTTGGTCATGCATGTTCTGACCTCCAAAGATTGGAAGGTTAAAGAGAAAATCAACCATCTTAAGATGATTGTTGCCGGGAAAATCAACCTGTACACGTCGTGGCTAATAGTGGTTGACAACGTCAGTAGCGTGCCTTCTATCTTTGATTTTCTGCCAAAGTCTGGACACGACGCATGGAAAAAGGGTCAGATGTTGATTACAACACAGGATACACAGTCTATTCCCTCAACAAACTCTTTTAGTTGTCACATATCAGTGAGCAAAGGTATGGAGCCCGAAGATGCCTTTCTCTTGTTGTCGAAGCTTTCAGACATCGCCGACAGCGAACTTGAAAAAACCGTTGCAGAAAAACTGGACTATCAGCCCCTTGCTTTAGCAAGTGCTGCTATCTTTGTTAAAGAGATTCGTCAGGCCGGAGTTTCGGAAAAGTTTGGTTGGAGTGAGTTTTTGAAGAAATTAGACGAAGGTAAAAGAAGCACTACCAAGGATAATCTTGCTAATACCAACCCAATTTACCCGAGCACTATGACTAAAGCAATTACGTTAGCAGTCGAATCACAGATTATGTCAGACAGAGTTGTTAAACAACTATTCAATTTCCTTTGTCTGTGTGCACCGCAACCATTAAACCTGAGCTTAGCAATCAATTACATTAGGAAAGTAGATGCAACAGACGATGAACTTATTTGCTTGAGAATCAGAAGGTGCTCACTGCTTATTTTTGAAGAGGACGAGGCTGGCTGCCGCATTCGAGTACATCAGGTTGTGCATGATGCTATCAAAACTTTCATAAACGCGTATGGAGACAGTCCAAAGCCAGAGGTCGTCAATGGTGCTGTTGAAACATTAAACCAATTCATAATCGAAATTTCACCAGAGAATAGGACGCTGCATTCGATGCACGTTGTGCCGCATTTAAGAGCCTTAGCTGATCATGTGTTTTTGAAAGGAAGGGTTTCTCAAGTTTATGATGAAAGCATCATAAAAACATTTAAAAACTTTGGTCTGGCTTGTCAAGAGCACTGTGAATTTAACGCTGCGAAAAGGTACTTCAAACTGTTAGCTGTTGTCCAGCTTAAAGAACTTGGAGGTGAGCATGTTGATGTCGCAAAGACGTACAATAACCTAGGTGTAATTCACCGTAAGCTAGGTGACTTTGAGAAAGCCAAGGAGTATTACCAACGTTCTTTGGCCATCAAACTTGAGACGCTCGGCGCCAAACATGTTGCTGTTGCAACGACGTACGATAACCTAGGTCTAGTTCACGGTAACCTAGGTGAGTTTGAGCAAGCCAAGGAGTATCATGAACGTGCTTTAGCGATCAGACTTGAGAAGCTCGGAGCCAAACATGTTGATGTTGTAACGACATACAATAACTTAGGTCTAATTCACCAAGCCCTAGGTGGCTTTGAGCAAGCCAAGGAGTATTACCAACATTCTTTGGCCATCAAACTTGAGACGCTCAGCGCCAAACATGTTGCTGTTGCAACGACGTACGATAACCTAGGTCTAGTTCACGGTAACCTAGGTGACTTTGAGCAAGCCAAGGAGTATCATGAACGTGCTTTAGCGATCAGACTTGAGAAGCTCGGCGCCAAACATGTTGATGTTGCAAGGACGTACAATAACCTAGGTCTAATTCACAAAGCCCTAGGTGACTTAGAGCAAGCCAAGGAGTATTACCAACGTTCTTTGGCCATCAAACTTGAGACGCTCGGCGCCAAACATGTTGCTGTTGCAACGACGTACGATAACCTGGGTCTTGTTCACGGTAACCTAGGTGACTTTGAGCAAGCCAAGGAGTATCATGAACGTGCTTTAGCGATCAGACTTGAGAAGCTCGGCGTCAAACATATTGATGTTGCAACGACGTACAATAACCTAGGTCTAATTCACCAAGCCCTAGGTGACTTTGAGCAAGCCAAGGAGTATTACCAACGTTCTTTGGCCATCAAACTTGAGACGCTCGGCGCCAAACATGTTGCTGTTGCAACGACGTACGATAACCTAGGTCTAGTTTACGGTAACCTAGGTGACTTTGAGCAAGCCAAGGAGTATCATGAACGTGCTTTAGCGATCGGACTTCAGAAGCTCGGCGCCAAACATGTTAATGTTGCAACGACATACAATAATCTAGGTCTAATTCACAAAGCCTTAGGTGACTTTGAGCAAGCCAAGGAGTATTACCAACGTTCTTTGGCCATCAAACTTGAGACGCTCGGCGCCAAACATGTTGCTGTTGCAACGACGTACGATAACCTAGGTCTAGTTCACGGTAACCTAGGTGACTTTGAGCAAGCCAAGGAGTATCATGAACGTGCTTTAGCGATCAGACTTGAGAAGCTTGGCGCCAAACATGTTGATGTTGCAAGGACGTACAATAACCTAGGTCTAATTCACAAAGCCCTTGGTGACTTTGAGCAAGCCAGGGAGTATTACCAACATTCTTTGGCCATCAAACTTGAGACGCTTGGCGCCCAAAATGTTGCTGTTGCAACGACGTACGATAACCTAGGTCTTGTTCACGGTAACCTAGGTGACTTTGAGCAAGCCAAGGAGTATCATGAACGTGCTTTAGCGATCAGACTTGAGAAGCTCGGCGCCAAACATGTTAATGTTGCAACGACGTACAACAACCTAGGTCTAATTCACCAAGCCCTAGGTGACTTTGAGCAAGCCAGGGAGTATTACCAACATTCTTTGGCCATCAAACTTGAGACGCGCGGCGCCAAACATGTTGCTCTTTCAACGACGTACGATAACCTAGGTCTAGTCCACGGTAACTTGGGTGACTTTGAGCAAGCCAAGAAGTATCATGAACGTGCTTTAGCGATTAGACTTGAGAAGCTAGGCGCCAAACATGTTGATGTTGCAAGGACGTACAATAACTTAGGTCTAATTCACAAAGCCTTAGGTGACTTTGGGCAAGCCAAGGAGTATTACCAACGTTCTTTGGCCATCAAACTTGAGACGCTTGGCGCCAAAAATGTTGCTGTTGCAACGACGTACGATAACCCAGGTCTTGTTCACGGTAACCTAGGTGAGTTTGAGCAAGCCAACAAGTATCATGAACGTGCTTTAGCGATCAGACTTGAGAAGCTCGGCGCCAAACATGTTAATGTTGCAAGGACGTACAATAACCTAGGTCTAATTCACAAAGCCTTAGGTGACTTTGAGCAAGCCAAGGAGTATTACCAACGTTCTTTGGTCATCAAACTTGAGACGCTCGGCGCCAAAAATGTTGCTGTTGCAACGACGTACGATAAGCTAGGTATTGTTCACGGTAACCTAGGTGAGTTTGAACAAGCCAAGGAGTATCATGAACGTGCTTTAGCGATCAGACTTGAGAAGCTCGGCGCCAAACATGTTAATGTTGCAACGACGTACAATAACCTAGGTCTAATTCACAAAGCCCTTGGTGACTTTGAGCAAGCCAAGGAGTATTACCAACGTTCTTTGGCCATCAAACTTGAGACGCTCGGCGCCAAACATGTTGCTGTTGCAACGATGTGCGATAACCTAGGTCTAGTTCACGGTAACCTAGGTGACTTTGAGGAAGCCAAGGAGTATTATGAACGTGCTTTAGCGATCAGACTTGAGAAGCTCGGCGCCAAACATGTTGATGTTGCAAGGACGTACAATGAACTAGGTCTAATTCACAAAGCCCTAGATGACTTAGAGCAAGCCAAGGAGTATTACCAACGTTCTTTGGCCATCAAACTTGAGACGCTCGGCACCAAACATGTTGCTGTTGCAACGACGTACGATAAGATAGGTCTAGTTCACGGTAACCTAGGTGACTTTCAGCAAGCTAAGGAAGTATTATCAACGAGCTTTAGCCATCAGACTTAAGAAGCTCTGAGTAGAACATGGTGTTGTTGCAAGGACGTATAATAACCTAATTCACTGTAACCTAGGTGACTTTGAGGAAGCCAAGGGGTATTTTGAACGTGCTTCAGTCATTTGTGTTAAGAAGCACAGTACAAAACAGGTTAGTTCGTAGAACTTTGCACGCGCAGCACACTTTTTTTTCCATTTCTTTCCCGTTGTTTTGCACGACTACAACGTGAAACTTCGAACGTGCTATTCTCGCGCCTCGACTTTCATTGTGCTTATGGTTATCGTGACCTGAAGAAACCACGTTGTGGAATAGTGATATTATGGCTTACTGTCGTCGCAGAAAGATAGTCATCGCCGGTATAGTCCAGGCCCCAGTTGTTCAAAAGTTGGATAGCGCTATCCACCGGATAAATCAGTATCCAACGGATGAGTATTAGAGAAACCAATTGCGCTATCCACTGGATATTGAGTTATCCGGTGGATAGCGTTATCCAACTTTTGAACAACTGGGGCCAGGACTATAAATTTTAGCTGGGTTTGAGCGGACACGTCCTATAACAGCGCAAGTTCGGTAGCCTGTGAGCAAGCTCTCCGTTAGTGGAGTCGCGAGAAGTCATGCGTGAGGGGCACGCTTTGCTCGGTCGGTTTTATGATTAGTTTTGAATCCGTATAAAAAGGACACTTATACCTGGCACCCCATGTGCCCCTTGCGATAAACATTACAACAAGACCTTGATAAAACCCAGTTTATTCCGGAACCATCTCCAATGAATATTCTTATTAAACGCTGTATAAATGGCATATTTAGGGTAATTTTTAGAAATATGTCTGTGGGAGAAGTACTATATAATTTGTAGACCGAATATGGCGACCCTGAACAACAGAAATGAACTCGTATCAAGTTGCAGACATGCAAAGAAATTTCTTCTAAATAACGTGATTATTTAAGCCTGTAAGACGTATTTTATTTTTTCTTCTTCAGCGGTTTACTGAAAATTGTTTATCCGTTGCTGTGCAACCCAGCCTATTATGAATCGCTACCGTTTTTTTTCAAAATCACTCTAAACCACTATAAAACACCATGTATTATTTCTTTTTGGTAGTTGCCTGATGATTGCTTCTCATGAAGCATGAAACTCTGAGTAGCAAGTAAATGTTTTTGACCTAGTTCAAGTCTACGTATCTATATATATTTATACAATGATGTGAATGCTACGCGCGCTGTGATTGGTCGTTGCCCATGATCTATTAGAGTACAGATACATCAGATGACGTCACGGGAAACTTGTTTTCTTTGTTTTGTTCAACATGGCACGCGGTTTTGAAAATGTTTGTGAGATTATTTCGGATTGAGGCAAGTGAAAGCTTCGGAAAAAGTTTAGCAGGAGCTATTTACAAAGAAGAAAAATGGAGAAACGGAGACCAAAAAAGCTATTGACTACTTGACAATGCCTAAACTACAAGAAATCTTCACAACAGTTGCCATCGTGTGTCTTAGCTACGAGAGACTCGCTGTTTTGCAAAATGTTTTCGCTATTATTCTTCTTTGAGCAAGAAAAGACGGTGAAAAACGTTTCGAAGAAACTGTACACAAGTAAGATAAAGAAGAAGCTAAGATGAAAAGTTGGGTTTGGGACTTAGAAAATGCCTAAACTAGCACAAATCCTCAAAAGGTCAAGCGGTTCGAGGCAGGAATGTGTACCGGTCTTTTTTTTTCTGATCATTGTATAAAACAAATAGATTCCATGTTGCCGTGGGTCTGTTCAGTAATAGATCACAGATGACGTCAATATATATATATTTAATATATAATATATAGAAAGTAAACTTCTGTGTCGAATGAAGATACTAAAAACAATGAAAAACGAAAGTCTTCTTTGCCTTTGCGCTACGCGTTTCACCGCTGTTGCGGCTCTTCAGGCATAGCAAAGTGTTTTTATTAACTTATTACGTCACAGACGTAATTGTAATTACAGTTATAATGGCTCTTGTAATTCGTAGCACGCGCGAGCAATTAGCGTAATTTCAAATCATTAAGAACGGGTTTATATTTCAAAATAAAAAAACCTCTCTTTGTTTTTTTCTCCTGCCCTCGGAGGGGCTGAGAATCTTGTAAAACGGAAAGATAGTAAACTGAAGAGTCAATCCCGCCGCACATTCATCGATATGCTTACTGACTCCCAGCATACGTGTGTGCGGGTCTCTGATTTGTTGTTTATGAACTGTCACTCTATTTCTCAGGACATCACCCGTTTCTCCTATATAATTATGTCCACATCCTGCGTATGTTATTACGTAAATCAAGTTCGTTGAGGTGCAGTTCATCGAGTGTTTTATCCGAAATGTTTCATTCGTGGCGTATGGAAGGGGTTGTGTATGGGGGATGCCTTCTCTGTTCCCTTTATCCTCTCTTGCTTGGAGACTATTTACCTGAAGATGGGGGACCCCAGGTAGGTGAGGTAACCCGCTTAGGTGGGGTAACCCGTGCGTCCATATAATCTGTCATTTTAATTTGATCATGTTTACGTGATAGTTGGAGTGACCCGCCAAATGTTACCTCACCTAACTGGGGTCCCCCACCTTCATGTAAACAGGCCCTTAAAGAGACCACAGGCTTTAGTTTTCCTCTTTCTCGCCATTCACCATTTTAGAAACCAGAAGGGATCGAACTGGAGCGGATCGGAGCCGAATGGGAGTCTTTCTGAGAGAACTACTGGGCATGCGCTGGTCAGCTATTGGAAACCAGTTTATGTCCCTAGTAACAGTCCCAGAAGTCCTTGCGAAAGTAAACTCGGCCCAGTTTCCTCGCTTCTGAAGTGGTGAATTGTTTTTTCTCTTCCGTTCACACTTTTTTCTTTTTAGTTTTTGAACAACATGTAAGTACAGACTAGTTCGAAACTAGTGCCGAAACTGGGCCAAATTTGGGATACTGGGTACCATTATTCAAGTGCCTTGCAAATGTTCGATCCCCAGATTGCTGGCTGCGAGAGCGCCAACAACAACGCTTTATACCACTTATAAGTCTAACCTGTCTTGCAACAAATCAGATTGTTGCAGGTAGCGAAAAGTTGTTGCAGAAATTAGTGAGTAGTTCTAGAGCATTATGCAACCTGAAAAAACTTGACTTGTTGCAAGATAGATTTGATTCGTGGATGGTAAGACGCGCAAAATAAGTTGCACATTTTTGTTGCCAGTTTCATCGTAGCTTGAATAAATTTGTAGGTCATGCTTTGCCAGTCATTTGACTGTGTCTCGTCTCACTGGTAGGGAGTGTGAATGAAGATAGGGGGAACTCGATTCCTTTAGGAGTAAACTGAGTAAGACCGGGACAAATCCACTGTTTTCCTCTTGAAAGTGTATGACGCCTCATATTCATTTCACCGTAGCCAACACCACTTGTCTATGGATCACAGGTTATAAAATTTCAAAAAAATTGGTTTTCAATATTCTGCTCTAGTATAATATATATTAATTTTTATTTCATCTTATAAACTCAACACAATTTTCACTGGATATCTACAATCCTTGTGAAGTAATATATTAATATTTAAAATAATTTACGAAGATAAAATGATAAAATGATAAAACATTATGGTTCATAGAGACATGATTCCGAAAAACATGCAGTGGTTAAAACTTTTGTGGAAACGCATGTTTGTCACATTTCCAAGAAGTTACACAATCATTTCTCAAATAACAACATCTGCACCCAGTTGTTCCATGCTCTGTCCATAAGTAAATCTTTGCTGACTGCCTGATTTGATTTATAGCCAGTCATTTAGTTCATGTAAAGAGGGTATCATGCTTAAAAATAAAACTTGTAAACGTTCAGTTAGTTTCTGGGTAAAAGGTGTTAACAAGTCACACATTCCTTTTAAAATTCCCAGTGCTTTACATCACATAGCGTGGCAAAATGGCCGACATTTCGCGACGCAACCACTGTTTTCCCCGCGACATGAAGTCTGAGGAGCGAGCTCACTAAGAAATTTCTGCGCTCGTTTCTCGGACGTCATGTCGCGGGGAAACCATTGGTGGCATTACAAAAACCTCGGCTGTTTTCTTAGGCTTTACATCACAGAGCAAAAGGAATATCTGTTTAACAATAGACAAAAATTCCATAAAAATGCTGTCATACTACACCTTCCAATAGTCACATTCTTGTTGCTAGATGCTATACACTGTAATGGCGATAAAATAAATTGGAGCCTGTTTATATGAACTCGGATGACTAACATAACGCCTTACATCGAACAATTTCGTTTTAAAATTAATAGCGAGAAGAAAGTTTCTTCTATTTCTGCAGTTGTTAAATTAAAACAAGATCAATATAAAATCACAGTGATTCTTTAACAATGCTTCAACAAACTTAAGATAAAACATAACTGGAAAAGCTATGACCTACATGTATTTATGTCATAAAACACTGTAAAAATGTTTGTTTTGACCAAAATACCATATATTATCTTCGATTTTATAAATTAATAAAATAAAATCCGCCTAAGATACAATAAACAATGAGCATCAATTCAATATTGCAATTATACTGAAAATAATACTTGGCAAAAAACCCCATAACATTAGCAAGAAATTTCGTAGCTCTATTGATAACATTTTAGGGAATTTCTTGATAAATGTTTATGGGAGTTCATAATACTCTTTTACTCCCAACACAGCCCTAAATGAAAAATCAAGGACAACATTCGAATATTCAAAAGAATAGAATGACCCTTAAAAGCACTATTTTTTCTTTCAAAAGGTTCGAAGGTGAAAACAAAGTATGAATCAGCTTAAACAGTTCACACCAAATGCTTTTCGGAATAACCAAAATTAAAAATTAACTTCTAAATGTCCAAATAGAGAATAGAAGTGATGATGTCACAAATACTACAAAATTTGTGAAATTATGGGATTGGTCGGCATATCCAGAAAGAACAAGATGAAAAATTTTCACTTACCAAAAATCTGCTTGTTGGTACAAGTTGGTCAGATCAGATATGAGCAACATTATGCAAGCCAATTATAGATGAATTTGTATCAAGTTATCAGAGAAAACTGGTGCTTATATCTACCCACTGACTCTTTACCAATTAGCACTGACAGGCTGATTTTTGGCATTTAGGTTTTTTTTTCATCTTGTTCTTTCTGAATATGCTAACCAATACCACAATTTCACAAATTTGAATTTGATGTCACACTTCTCTATTGAGCTACAGTGTATTATTGTGAGGAAACTAAGAACCAGAATAATAAAGCAGTGTTCCAGGTTGAATGATGATGATGTCATTTTCACACTTGAAATGGAAAACTGTCTCAAAATCAATCTAATTAAATGGATAAATAGACAAAGTCAGATGGATTATTTGATGTCTAAAATGAACACTGCTACAAAATCAGATTAAGACATGCTGAAAATCCTTCAGAGATGGATAATGTATCAGGAGAGTGAAAACAGCCAGAACTGTGCCAAATATAAAGAACTAAATGTACACTGTAAATAGAGAAAAAAAACCAGGGTAACCCTGAGGGTAAAAAGATGAATGAGTTAATTGTGGTATAACATGTTTCACGACTTGTGGAATGGCATAGTTCGATGTACAGCTGTATGCTCAATCAGCAAATTAAGAGGCACGTATTGTTAACATTTCTTCGGGACATTTATTACATTATAATTTCATCATTGGGCAAGTCGTGCCACATGCCATTCCCCCAACTAATGCTGACTTTTGCCCTCACCGTTGGGCTACCTGGTAATCTTAGTTCTCACACCAAAAATTAAAATTTTATGCTGGGCACCCTGATGCTGCGTTGGTGGGGGAGTGAAATAGAGTTTGATGTGATACCATTTAAACTCTTCAGTGGAAATTTGAATCTAAATAATTGTGTGAAATAAATTAACATTGAGATAAATAATATTATTTACATGTATATTGATAATATTTTTCAGAAATCAAGCAATATAATTTAACACAGAGAGTTTGCAGTCAATTCAGGACTGTCATTGGCACTTTGATTTTGAACATAAAAAGCTTGGCCATTTCAGAGGCCACTCATACTCATTGGGGACTTTGCCAGATACCTTTTCCTCGAAGAACCAAAACAGAGGAAACCAGACCCTTGTTCTCTTACTGTCAATGCATTTTAATGCACGTGTGTTAGCCAGAGTGTGATAATATAAAAACAAACGAGAGGAAATGTAGAAAGCAATCACCACATCAATTGAATAGTGTTCGTGAGCAGCCAAAATAAAGAATATTCCAAACATGTTTAGAACCCAGCAACATGTGTGCAGGTAGTACATACGGGAGGGCGTGTCTGAAAACCAAAATGTATGTAAAAACAAGTTAATACTGTTGTATATTCCAAAACAAGAGAAACTACATTTAGTAGAAACATATTTGTTACAGGTCAAAAGTATATCCAGGTTCAAATCTTTTATTAACCTACATGTACATGTACTCCTAGTTTGATTCTCAATTCCCTATGTCTCCTAGCCGTAATCCATGAATAATAGGGCTAGGAGAAAAAGGAAATAGAGAATCAACCTAGCTTAAAAAACTTTAACCCGTAACACATACATATTTAACAAAATAATTCAGTTTGTCTCAACAAAATTACGTCAGTGATGGAAAAACATAAAAAATAGGGGTAATAAAGATCAAGTTTGATTGATTAAAAGATGGTATATTCCATTCTTTCCTAAACTTGGTAGACATTTGAGAGAAGTGGCACAGTTTCACAGATTTTTGAACCAGAAAAATTAAAAGACGTTTTAAACCTAAATTGGAGAATACTCTTGGTCTAAAAAAAATTCAGTTTACTAGCAAATCTTGTATTATTGTGCATACTGGATGCTGTAGTCAGGACATCAAGCAAGATGTCCTGGAATGCTATCAGTTTCAATCCTTACCCTACAGCTGTATGTAAATGTACATGTATAAGGCAGCATGTTTCTAGCTTATGTAATAAATATAATTATTGTCTATAATTTAAGAACTGCTAAGGGCTTGTAATAAGGACCAGCACTCTCTCTAGGATGTGAAAAGCAGATGCTTTGGAGACATTTGTCCTGCTTAATACAAAGACAATCTAGACTAGTATTGCTGGCACAGCCCCAGGCAATAAGAATAACAGTTTCAGGCTACAACTGTATCTGGTTGAAAATGTACCTTCAATGACCAAGCATGCATGGATTAATACAATAAAAAGCATCACTCACATTCTGTGATAAAGAAGTTTAAGAGAGTAATGGAAACCGTGTGGCCACTAAACATGTAGTCCCCACAAGTCCGCACACCATTCACTGACAGTCCAAACCCAAACAAGATCTCAAATGCCCTTGCTATCTTTGCCCAAGTGTCTCCATACAACTAGAAGAACAAAAATAAGGAATAAAAATATTGTTATCTTGTCATGCCAACTGATGTTTGACCTTTCAGAAATTCTGTTCCTAAAATTAATCAAATAATTGTGATCAATCAAATTGTGATTAATTTTAAAGTAACATCAAAACCATTTTTACTGTGTATTCAATAACATGCAAACTGAAAGGCAAAAAATTTAACCATTGATTACGTATTTTAATTCCAACAATCATAATTGCGTTGAAACAAAAAAAACAAAGTGGGTCAAAATGTACAACTCGCCACCTACAGATGTCAGGGTCTTTAAAACCCCCTGAAGAAAACCAATGCTTCCTGAGAGGTCTGTTAGGGTGATTGACAGAAGCAAAAAATGTAAATGTTACATTTTTTACATTTTTTGACTCTTGATCAAGACTTTACATGACACCCTTGGGACACAAAAAAGGTGTTCATAACTCGAGATTATTGCCGCTTAAGAGAATGGTTCTCTTTCATGTATCAGGATACTAAAGGTGTTAAGGGCTTATAAATGGCCGATTAAGGGAGTTTACCCAGCTATAAATAAACAATGGGAATGTAACAAAATGTTTGTTAGTGTTTGGCTAGCTGTTGTTCTGACAACATTGTAATTTATAGACCAGTTTATAGACACAGGTATAAATTCAAGTAGTCTTTTCAAGTGTACATATAATTATAACCGGATGTGTATTTGAAAAACAAACAAACTGAACTATTATAGAAACTGATATAAATTACATGTAATTGTGATGAACGGCAATTTCAAGGTGATTTATTAAAATACAAGATTCAAAGGATTGATTTCAACCATTTTTTGTTCACAGGTATTTTCATATCGTTTTCCAGAGGCATTTCTTAAGCAATTTTCTCAAAATTTGTTCATAGGTTTTTCTCACAGGGTTTTTCAGAGGTGTTTTTCAGGCAATTTTCTCAAACTTTGATCATAGGTTTTTTCACAGGGTTTTTCACAGGCTTATTTTAGTCACAGGTTTTTTCACAGCGTCCTAAATTTTGAAATTTTATCAAACTTTAGGCTGTGCAAAATTCACAGGTTTTTTCACAGGGTGTTTTCTCGTCACAGGGTATTTCACATATTTTTCACAGCATTTTCACAGGTTTTCATCCAATAGTGGAATGAGATTTCATTTCGGAATTGTTTAAAGACATTAAAGCAAAGATAGAACTCGTAAACCCTAAGAATACCTGCAGCCGCTTTAATGGGTATTCAAAAATACAGAGTTCGTATGGGAGTTGAAATGGGGTTTTGTGAAGGCGGCAGTAAGTAAAGCTGTCCACTTACAAGAGTGTCTGTTACATTTTGTAAGAGAGCTTCCACTGTACAGTTGAACCTTGATTATCCGGACCTCGATTATCTGGACTTGTTTCCCTGGTCCTGTTTTTTTTCATGAACATTAATAAGATGTGATCTTCAAAAAATTGAAACGATTCAAAATTCATTTATCCTTCCAAACGTGTTTCAATCACTCTTTTGATCTGTTTTGAACATGAACACTTGAAACAGTAACTTACATACAGACCGTACATAAATGCAAGTAGGAGCAAATTCATAATATTAATTATATTTTGTTTTCTTTATTCCCATGTTTACATTGTCTCATTAATATTCATATTTTTCATTATCTGGACTCTTGATTATATGGACTATTTAATCAAGTCCCAACGAGCCCAGATAATTGGGGTTCAACTGTACTACCAGGATGTTTACCCAAAAATGATGATCTATTAAAGTGCCCATCACCTAAAATTTTTTATTTTCTTATCTGAAACTATACCTTATTAAAATAACTTCGGCGAAAAAATTTTCCGGTTTGAACAAAATGCGATTTTTTTTACCAATTTTTGAACTCTACATTTTTGTGGTACACTTGCGCCGCTGATCATGCAAACTAGCAAGCTCACATATGACGTCCTGTGACATAAATTAAGGAACTCGCATTACCTTGCCTTCACCAGCTGTACACAAAAAAGATAAATTTCAAGTAAGGATTGAATCATAATGTCTTCGTAAGAAGAAAGTTTTTCTGAAAAAGAAAAACCTATCAGAACTCTTAATGTTTTCCTGTCGATAGGGTCACGTGTTCCGTAAAGTATGTCATAGTCCGAGAGAAGACTAAGACGAATGGTGTGTCAAAATGGCGGCAAATTTGAACGTTTTTTAAAAATTCTAAAAAAATCGTCTTTGGTTCAAATCGCAAAATTTTTTCGCAGAAGTTATTTTGATAAGGTGTAGTTTCAGATAAGAAAATAAAAAATTTTAGGTGATGGGCACTTTAACTTTGGAACAATTTATACATCTACTTGTGTATGTGTTTATACATACAATCAAATGTGTGTACAACGGCCACCCTTGGGAAATGGCAAGGTGGCTGTTACATACAGGGGGACCACTATATACAGGTCAAATTTGCAAAAAATATAAGGCAACTTAAAATTTTGGGAAGTTGTTCGGTGACTACTAGTATTATATAGGGTGACTAAACACCATATACAGGGCCGTTATATACAGGTTTGACTCTGTATATATATTATTAGTCAAAATCAAATTTAGGTTAAAAGCTTTCAACCTAGGTTGATTCTCAATTTCCTTTTTATCCTAGCCCTAATTACTCATTAATTACTAGGGCTAAGAGACAAAGGAAATTGAAAATCAACCTAGGTTAAAACATTTTAACCTGAATATAACTTGGTCTTGACCTGTATAACATGTACATGACATTCGTGCAAAATTAACTTAAAGAGGAAGAATTCCTCAAAAAATAGAGAACTCATTATGTTAAGGTAAAGCAAAGAACTACTGATATTTAATACAAAAAGTCACTTACGACACGTAAATAAAGGAGAGCATATATTAAGTTTAAACAATTTTCTTAGAATCCTATATTTACTTTCCTTGTATCTACATTTAAATTTTATAATACACTGAAAAAGATAATTTTATATTACTTTGCCTGAACAAAACAGGAAGATCCCACCTGCAACATCTAAACCTACATGTTAATGATTAATGTGTTCCAAACATACATTTACTTCAATGCATACGTACAAATATCAACAAATGCAAATTTTAAAATTTCAACCTAATATTAACTAAATTAAATTCATAAAATAAAACAATACACGGCTATCGGGAGTTTTCTCCCAAGTACATGTACAAACAGTGAAACCTGTATTTAACCCTGACTGATTGATGTCCATACATTTCTTTAAAGAATTAGTAATGAGAATTTGACAAAAGAGCAAAATATTTTCCTTTTGGCAGTCATTTTATCAATAATTCTTAAAACCTATTCTCTTGATAAAGAACTGAATTAATTTTGCAAGGAGAAATTGATGTCGGTCACTTTTGGGACTTAGAGGATAAAGGGGACACTCATGAAAACTTCACTGGTGTCCGCTTAATACAGGCTTGTTTTACACATAAAAAGAGAAAAAACAGTTAAAACAAAGTGAGCCATTTGCCTGCTTGATAAACGTTTCACTGTAACCTCATTAATGTGGACTACACAGAGACAGAGCAAGGTGTCTGCATTACAGTGTGTCGATATTATGAAGGTACAGTAGTCGGATTGTCAAAAGTCTAGTGTCTATGGAACCAAGAGAACTGTGTGTAATTGAGAGGTGTCCATATTATGGAGAAAGGGATTGCATGAGGTCTGAAAGGAACATGTATATATTTTCCAAATTGGTGGCTCAGTGGCTCTTATCATCATCATCATTTTTATTAGCCCTTTTTTTACAGCAAATTTTACAGGATACAGCAGGTTGTTAGGCGAGGAGACCTCAAGAAACCACCAGGTTTATATAGAGAGGCCACCTCGACATCACAATATTATAAGAAATAAGGGTTGCGAAGAAGGGCTCTTCGTTGGTAAGGGCTCTTCAGTCAGGACCGGCTAGTTGTGGAGGGACTTGAATGATAAGGTCATTTTATATGAACATGTATTTCACTTGTGAGCTGTTGACCAACTCGAAAGATTGATTTTCAAAAATTGCCTTGTATTCAGTACTTAAGATATAACCTTTGTTTTCTTCTTTAACTGAAAAACAACCCCCCCATTTTTCTTCCAAGGTCAAACTTTGGCTTTTAATTTATACCTTTTCATTTCTTCAACAAATACAAATCTGTCATAAAACACAACACACGGATCAATCACGTAAAACCTCCTGCTTTGTTGTATATTATATTTCTAGTTGTAATAATGAAAGATTACAGTATAACATAAAAGCCTCTGACAAAATTTTATATGTAAATTATAATTATTTATCATTAACTGGATGACAGCTGCTCACCTTTCCAGAGCATTCTAGATGGATTCCAGGAACACTGAGAGAAGTAACGAACATCGTCACACAACGAAGAAGGAAGACTGTACCACACAAAGCAGCCATACGACGAACTACAATGATCCTGTGTTTATGGAGGAACAATGTAATACCTAAAACGACTCCCAAAATAAGGGCTGTGACTTCACACATCTTAAAGGCCCAAGGTATCAGGGGCACATTGTCCAGAACTATATCAGGCAATGGAGGGTATTTCTTCATGTCTGGAACACGATCATGAACGAAAACCATCACAAAGGCAGTGACGAAAAAAACCGTAAATGCGTAGAGAAGGCTGATCAAAGTCCGACCTGTTTCGGACAGGTCCGATAAAGGATGAACCGAGTCTATCCTATCCTCTAAATCAGAATCCTCGCCTATTTGCCATGATCCCGAATATCTTGCACTCCTTTGAAAGCTATCAATCTCATCCACATTCTTGCGTTTAAAAAACCCATTAGGCAATCGGGAAATGGGACGGTTGTATGGCTGTTGAAGAGCATCTATTTCAAGCCAAAGGCGTTTGATATCTCCCAGAATTTTCAATTGTAGAGGAGGATTTCTAAGATCATCTTGGTTAATAGCGAGTAGAGCTTTACCATCTATCTTATGTTCATAACGAAACAAATCTGCATAATCCGTGAAACCTTTTCGTTGTAGCCACAATCCTACTTGTTCACAAGACCACTTTCGCACATCCTTTGACTGCCCCATATTGGTTCTGTTTCTGCGAACATTTTTTTTGTCATCACAGATCATGTGTTTGACTTAGCGACCACGCTCTATTCTGAAATGACATTAGTCACCAGTCTCTTTTAAACATCTTCATTTTGCACAGATCGCCATATTTCCGAGTAAAGGCTGATTGTTTTCTTCCTAGCTCCGCTGATTTCTATCCATTAATCCAGTCAAAACTATGGTGGATTACAGTAAATGGGATCATATTGAAGTAAGTTTTCATTTTACCGATATTATTACATGTATTTTAATATCCACCTTTGACAAATTCTGAGCTGAATTGGATGTGAGAAATACGACTCAGATTGACCATGTTCCTTATGAAATCAAAGTATGCACCATTGCCTTCAGCATACAGTTGATCAGCCATTACACAAGTACAAACATAAATTTTCAAATTTCTTTTGATAGCATATATACTAACTTCCCCTAGACAATAACATTTCTCTAAAATATTGTTCTAGTTTAGTAAAATAATTATTTAAGCTTTATCTTCCTAATGCAATTGTAAGCATGAGCTTTATCATCCATGAGATTCTCTCTGGGTATTTGCAGACGTTGCTTTCATTGTGGTTGCCCATCAAAAGTGTGGTTCTAAAAAATATCCATACCCCTGGAGGGAATTTCACTGAAGACCCCCTTAGGTACTGATCGCTTGTTATGCCCGTGAGGGGGAGGTACTTTTGTTGTCAGCAACAAAACGTTACCCGTATAAAGGTTGACCAAGGAACCTATCAGCTATTTCTCCTACCAGGAATGTAGTGTGCATGTATGCACATATGCCTATGCATACAGTACCCTGGGTACCAGAGGTTTTTCTTGCGTGTGGTGGGAATTTTCAGTGTTGGCCGAAGGCTGACACATTTTTGGCCACAAGTGGCGAAGCGGCAAGAAAAAACCTCTGGTATGGAGGGGTGCTATTTACCGTCCCCGTTGACCTTTGAACTTTTTTATTGGGTTACATTTACATCAAGTCTCCAACTGTGATCATGTGGACCGGCACGTGAAGAAATGTCCAAAGACTCACATTATCCTTAGAAAAACAAGCTTGAGTTTAAAATTCAAAGCAATCATGACTGAGTCACATCGCAGTTCTCCATAGTTGATGTAACTTCATTTTAAGCTGCAATTCATTCTTCAAGATTGGGATCTGAAAATCACTATCTGTGAGAATTTAACATCCTGCTAAAAATGCTATTGAATGAGCTGGGCCCAACGTGACAAAACATTTCAGGAAACTGTCACATTCACGGACAAAAAGAAAATTGCTTATAATAATTCAGATCGTGAAAGGTTTGAACCGAGGAGTCATTTCAAAAGTAGGTCGAGTTTGATCGCCCGGGTGAACGTAGCCCTGAATAGGACTGTTGTTGTTGACAGTGACTGATGTTTCGACAACCTGTGTGGTAGTCATCTTCAGAGTCAAATTGAGTTGTATCACGTCAGTTACTGATATTATACTCTGGTTATTGATCTGATTGGTCAATTATGTCGCGATGTTATTGGTCGTCTGTCAGTTAAGCCGTGATGTTATTGGCTATGAAGACTCGTAATCAGTAATTGATGCATTTCGATCCTTCTGTTGTCACAGTTAAACAGTCATCTATTGTTAGTCAAATTGTCAGTTCTCCAGTCGTTCTCTCGTAGTTAGTTTTGCTTGATCTCGTCAATAAGTCATTTGTACGGAGCTGGTAACTGTTGGCTACGATTCAGTGGCATCTGTTCTAAGTTAGTAAACTAGCTTTATTTTTAAAGTAAGACGTTGATAGTAGTCTGTAGAATACGTTATACATGTCGCAGAGTCCCAGTTAATTTGATGTTTCATCTTTAAATGGTCCTCAGCAGTGTGATTGTTGACGTCACCATTCCTCATCACTCGTTTGTGTTCGGTCAGTCGCGTACTTAGGTAATAATAATTCAGATCGTGGAGGCTCTTTGGAGAAATTAAACAACTTAAAACCATTATTTTAATAGCTGCAATGAAGAGCTTAACATTTCAAAAGAGGTCAAAGAAAATGCTCTTGCATCAGAGGGCAAATCATGCTGACTAGAAACAATAACCGCAGAAAATCAATATGCCTGTCATGACCTCTCAGTATGAAATAAGCGGCAAAAATCAAATTTGCTCAGTCAAAACATTTTCCTCCAGAGGTCCCAGAGCATAATCTACTCATCAGATAAAAAAAATTCATTGGACCAAGCAGCATTTTGGCATGAGGTAAAAGCTGTGTGTTGCTTACTGACCCCCTTTTGGTACTAAAAATTGTTGGAAAAGTTGAATGTGATAAAAGCTTAATTCCGTTGAATAAAATTAAATACCCCACTTGTTTGCTTATCGCTTAACTTGTCTACACTGTCAAACCGTTCTAGTACATTGCTTATGCGTTCCTTCCATGCTCTTTCGGGTCACTATAAAGGCTTGACAGAAACCGGAAACCGTGAGAGAAAAGTCTTTGGCACCCAGGGTATGCATATAGCTGAAATCTGGAAAAATACATTTTTTTTTTTTATTTCCTGAAATCATCGTTATCATTAAATCAGGATAAATATTTTGCATTATATTGGTGTTTTTGTGTTAGAATTTCCTTTATCCTTTTACTGATTAAGTGGAGTGGAGTTGATCTGAACGTGAAGCCACAGACCTTGTTTGAGACTTTTGACCTAGCCAGCTCCAATTCTATCCCGGAGTATATGTAGCTTTCATAACTTTGTTGACTTATCCTGTACTGTCAACGTGCACCGCTGAGCTTAGCTTCTGCGGTAGGAAGAGACTGCAAACTCCTTAATTTATGAAAGACTATGACAGACGAGAGATTGAGTTCTCTTGCAGTTCTGTAATTGATATTGATGGCATTCAGTAACAGAGTTTGCCTGTCGGAAGGGTACACTCTCGCCCTTTGCTTGTAACCTCCTGAATTGCATCACTGTTTTACCCTTTCTTGCCATAAACACTGTACCTTACCGATAACACTAGAAATGGGTAAAAAAAAATACTTCATTTTCCTTCGTCTTTATTTACTGAAAATGTCCTGCAGAAAACGCAGGATATGGCATTTTTGAGACCCTAAATTAAAAAATTTCTGGGAGAGTATGCCCCCAGACTCCCTCAGGTGTGGGGTGCCTTTGGCGTGCTAACTTTTCCTCTGCATGCACCTTCAAAATCTCACACTAGGCTGCTGACTACCGGTATCTTATAGCTTATGAGATCAATGCCCACGGATGGAAGAAGAGACTTGGTCTAGAAGGGGTTGGGGCGGGGGTACAATTTTCATATGTAATTATTATTATTAATTGTTTTTTTTGCCGGGGGGAGGTAAGTTTTGATACAAACACTTTTCTGAACCCCCTCCCCCCCAAGGACAATCAACGATGGGTCCCTTACCTCCCTGGATTTTCATTTTTGTAGGGAACTCATGTCCCCCTAACCATAATTTCCGCACTTGTGTACATGTGACAAAGACCCTCACCCCCCAACTCTTCTGGAAAACTTCATTTGCACAATAAAAGGTCATTTAGGTAAAAGGACAAGGCCATTTGTGGTTAGTACACAGTGGTTCCCATTTATTAATAAGACTCGCAGCATCAGTCAGAACACACTGTGCTACCTACAGTACAAAGTAACCAAATTTGTTCCCTTTAAATGAAAGAGATTATGTTAAGTTGTGTGTGTGAATTTACCTTAATTTGCAAGCGTACGATTTGTTTTCCCTAGGGTGACTGAAATCCACTATCTCTTAACAACATCGGTCAATGCATCATCAAAAGAATAGGTTATGAGCATTTTTTAGCATTAATAAAGTGATCACCACGGGTTTCTCTCAGCTAATTCTTTAAGGAAATATATGGACATCAGTGTGGAACATTTGCTTGTGGATACTGGGGCTTAAAAAGCATTAAATATAAAATATACTTTTAAGGGGATTATTATTGCAAATCTTAAGATGGTCATCCTCATGCATTTTGCTGTAGGTCAGTGATGATGAAGATGACACCCACCCCAATATTGATACACCCAGTCTGTTTAGATGGCGGCATCAAGCGAGAGTGGAAAGAATGGAGGAAGCAAAGAAAGAAAGAGAATCAATGGATACAAAGATTTCCCAGTAAGCCAGTTAAAATAGGACAATTTTTAATGATAAGATTGTCAATAAAGAGGAATCCACAGAGGCTGGTGGGGCCGAGAACTGTTGACAAGTGCAGGTTTAGTGCTAATTACCGTAACCTTTCACAAAGGTCCTTATGAGGCTACAACCCTGCAAGCAATGGTTTCTCCAGGCCGGATGCTATGCTATGAAGGGAGAGATACCACTGCGAGCAACTGTTTGCTTTTCCATTGAGCATCTATACATCAAAATGTCAAATGACATCACTTTCTTTTCATTGCCAGGAATCATTAGAAACTTTAGGATTCAACAACATGACAGCAATGAGAAGATCAAAATAACAATTTGTTTAATAAAGCAAAACTACAACTTGCACTTGCATCATTCATTTTTGTACATTTCCTTGCTTTTTGCCAACTAGGTTGTGAAAATGCCTAATTTTGCGTTTTGTGGAGAACATGAACAAGCAATGATGAAATTTAGTTTCTTTTTCTGAACTTGGATATGGTCCCTAGGAATTCAAGTCCAGTTGGGTCTGCATGTATTTGACAAAGTGGTTAGAAGTGACTGTAAGCATAAGCAAATGCGTGAGAGTCTTAACTTGTTTAATTTAAACTTATTTTTAAACGGGATTTACCTTGTCAAAGTTAATTTATTCATCCCTGGTGCTGGATCATGGCTTGATAAAAGAAGCTTGCAAATAGTTGCTTGCAGTGATTTCTCTCGCCTTGTAGAGTAGTGCCCAGCCTGGAGAATAAGCTGCTTCTTGCAGGGCTTATGAGGTAACTGACTACCCTTCCAATCCCAGATGAAACATTGCTGGCCAGCAATGTTTTGTGTTTAACTTGACAGCCTAAATTTCATTTCTCATTTTCTTAGCTCTCTCTCAAACACTAGCTGTAAGAAATAAGTACACTGTATGAGACATCAATGCTCCTGTTCTGTTCTGAAACATTTAGATCTGTTGCTAATTACAGTCTGGCTGTAATTAAATTGGTTCAAAACTATGTACTGTAACAAAGGTAATGAACAGTTGCATAATATGGTGTGATCTTTTGACATGTTTCATGTGTTTTTTTATTTTTTTTTTCTAGAACTAAAAAGAAACTTGATCAAGTGAGACAGCAACTTAAGGATGTGAAAGTAACAGATGATAAAGCAGAGCAACTGAAACAACAGTTGACTGATTTAGAGAAAAAGGTTAGGAAGTCCTAGGACATAACAACTTTGAATTTATTAGAATTTAGAACAGCCTTATTTGCTAAATAAAGAAAGTTGTTGATAAATTATTATATTATCATGTACTAAGGTAGCATTTTAAGTACAGAAGTTTGTCGTAGCAAATATCAGTTTTTTTACATTGAGGAAACAGCAAACTGGTCAACAATGACAAAACAATACAGTCTGTTAAACCTACATTAAGCGGCCACCCTCAGGGTACCAGTAAATGGCAGCCAGGGGAGGTTGGCCACTCAATAGAGGTTTATCATAAATTAGCATTATGTTTAGCAAAAACAGGAGCAGCATTACTGGTCCATGATTGGTCGTCACCTTCTATCTTGGACTGTATTTTTCTTCATCATTATTCTTGATATAAAGCTAAACTTAGTGTATCAAGCGCTTGATGGGTGCTTTATATAGGCAGACACTTAAAAGCGGTTTAAGTTCCTACCGTGACCATTTTGATTACTGGCTGCTTAACCCTTTAAGCCCCAATATCCACATACAAATTCCCCAAACTGATCTCCATACAATTCCTTTAAGAAATATTTGAGAGAATTTGATGGCAGATCAAAGCATTTTCTCTCTAGTGATCATTTTATAAATTCTCATAACCTAATCTATTGACAAGGTATGAGTATTGTTTGGAGAAAGTTGATGTTGGTCACCATTGGGACTTAAAGGGTTAATAGAGAGTGGCAGCTTAATTGGTGGCTGCTTAATGGAGGTTCAACTTACTGTAATGTTATGGTGATCTGCCTTTGAATAAATAACCCTTTTGGCTCCTTCACAAAAGTAGAAATTGTCCTTGGCTGGTTTCTATATATTTCAGTCTACATACTTTTGAAAAACAAACTGGAGAAATTGTAACATTATGGTGTTTAGCAATATTAATTTTTTTCTTTATAGCAAAAACAACTTAAAAAAGAAGATGAAGAGTTAACCAAGAAGGAAAAGGTAAGTAATTGCCAATGATCTATTTATTCTTCACCGATATTCTGTCAGATTTTGTACTTCCTAGTGTGTCTGTGAAGTATGTTTCTAATAGATCATTTTCACCTGACCTCACAACATGTACCAAAACAATAAAACCTTGGCAGCTATGTTTTTGTTTGGTCCACCAAAAAATTCCTTGGAGGGTTGAACTCTTTTCTCTTGCAAAAACTTTCTCTTGTTCCAAGAAATTTACATACATATAGCAGCACACAATGTGTGAGAAAATGATGTTCCATCTCAGTAATTGTATTAGTAATGATAATGACCACAGCAGGGGTGCAAGTGAGCTTCTGAACATCATACTCCTGAACAACTCCGAAGTGGTATAAAACAAAAACTGGTTCTAAAGAAACTAAAGTCTTTTTCTTTGAACCAGTCTTGAGCTCGCAAAAAAAATCAGCTACTTACTACAGCCCTGGTCACTGTAAACTTGCTTCATCTGTAGAGTGCATGTAATATTATGGGTGACAAATTACTTCTTCAGTTTGGCACAAAATTTCAGCATTATTTTATTTATCATTTCACTTGTGAATTTACAATGTTGCTATGGTAACTTTTCCTACAGTACCAAAATGACATCCAGGTTATTCTTTAAATCCACTTGACACCATGTGATTACACATACTTATCGCATGGGCTAGAGTTTAATTAAGGATTAATTTAATTGCTATGAACATTTAAAAACAGTTCTTTATTCATGTCAACATCAGTGTGATTGTTGTTTAAGCCCAGTTGGCTTGCAAATAACGCTTCACTGGTATCGTAGAGGTTACGGTTTGAATTTTGGTGCAGTAAGCCTGAGTTTTTACAGGCTTTTCTTTTCACAATTGCTTGAGTTGTGTTTTAAACTGTGATGATCTTCTCACCATTTCTTTTGAAGGTTACTTAATCAACTGTAAATTTACTGTCCTAGATACATATCTCATATTTTGTTAATTTTTTGCAAATTATACTGTCATCATTGGCTTTATGATTAATTTTCTTTTCCATGTGTATGCTTGTTACAGAAAGCTCCAAAGAATGTTGATACACTAAGTCATGCAGGATTTACCAGAACGGTAAGTATGCAATCCAGTTTTGATTTTATCAAATAAACAACAATGTGTTAGTGATCAGACCATTAAGGACAAAAAAATTACAGTGTCTGAATTCGTCAATAGGCCAGTTTTGAGTTAGACTGTGAGCTGTCTCTCTTTTTGTTCAGTCACACGCGTGGTCATCTGCTTGTCTCGGTCGTTTTGCTCGACGGACCAAGAAAAAAGAGAGACTGCTCGTAGCCTAGTTTTGAGTTAAATGGTTATGTATCAACATTTTAGACGTGGCTCTAAGGCTGGGGGAAATAAGGCAAAAGAAATGAAGTATTTATCCCTGAATCTCAATGTGATTTCTTTTGTTTTATTCACCTCAGCCAGAGAGCTAGGCATGAATTTTGACAATTCAAGTTAAGACCTATTGAAACCTTCTGAGTCTGTGATACAATAGAATTTTCAGTTTTTTAACCTCATTTTCCACTGCTGCCTATACAAGGAAGGCAAATGTACAAGTAAATCATTTTGCACATGTACCTTATGTAAACAACTAATTTTTACATTTTTGTTATACTTCAGATAATAAATGCGCCAAAGAAGAATCCAGATGATAGTTTGACTGAAGATGAGAAAGCTGAAAGATCTGTACGTCACATTTTTTCATTTTTGTAAATGGAGGCCTTGAGTTAAGGCCTGGCAACTAGCTGGATTTTTTTCTTTTGCTATCCCAAGTTTAACTTTTCAGTAACACTTGTTGATAGCCCATGGGTTTACCTTCTACTAGTTGGAATTCTTAACTTTGTTATGCATATGAAAAAAAATTGTGTGATTTATTTGTTTCATGTTATTGCTAATGCCCTTTCTTAGTTGTTTTGCTGTAAATTTTGTCCCCTTCACGGTTGTAAGGGCATGCTGGGTAATCAGGACTAGATGGCATGGAACTAAAAAGTTTATATGGCAATTCAAAGTCAACTGATTCTTCCTAATTGATCATATTTATCACTTTCTCTTTGCAAACTTTAACCAATGAACTTAGAGAAACTAAACACTAAATGTGGAGACCACAGTAATCCTTTGTCACTTTTTAGAAAATATGACTTCTTCCATACATTAATGTGTAATTTTTGTGTTGTCGGATAACAGAAAAAACAAATGTGTGGAAACCTCAGGTTTTCTATACAGCAACAAAGGACTGCTATGCACTCCAGATTTAGTGTGTAGTTTCTTTAGGTTCATTAGTTACAATTTTCATTCATTCTTTGTATTTCCATACAAACTTTTGATTTTTCCACCATCTTGAACTGATTACCCATCATGCCATTACAACTGTAAAGGAGTCTATTGCCGAGGGTAGATAGAGCTCAATAGTATCATTGTTAAAACATGACAGAATGCACCTTGCGCTGAAATTATCCAGAAGAAGAAATTCCCATTTCACCTTTAATTACCTTATGGCGCATCATTTTCGTATTTTAATTGTGTTTTTTATGTTTTTTCTTTTTATAGCAAGCCTTCATGGACAAATACAAAAAAGAAATTGAACACTTTGGAATGCTGCAGGATTACAATGATAGTGAAGATTATTTGCGTAAGAATCCTCACTTGGCTTGTGAGGACACTGCAAACTATCTTGCATTGTGGTGTATCAGCTTGGAAGTACAAGAGGTGATTTTTGAATTAAAATTCAGTCAATCAACTATAGTGCTGCTAGTGTGTTCTCGAATCATTCTGTTAGTTTGGGTTACTTTTCGGTGCCTTGTAGAAAGACCAAAATAATTCTGATGAATGAACAATCTCAAAATGCATTTTTATGTGCCAATTTTTTGAGTTAGTAACTGGCAGACACATGTAGTTATCAAATAGACTAATTTTACTGAGAATTTGAACTTTCGTAGAATCAATACCCGCCTTTTCAATGAAACCAAGAAAGAGGCTAGAAGTCGCAGTTAAATGTGAGACCTAGAGGACTCAAACAACAACTACAACACAACAACAAAATGATTTTACTTTCCGCATATCACCAAGAGAAATTTTTTTTTATACTGGATCAAAGCAGGAAATCCAGAGCTGGGCAAGAAATACCCATCTTGAACGATCAGCAAATATGGGAATCAAGTCTTTATCTTGCCCACTTGCAGAACCAGCCATACATGTAAAATAAATCATCTGATTGTACCGGTTTTAATCACTTATTCAACAGAAACATTCCCTTATGGAGCGAGTAGCTCACCAGACGATCATTATGCAGTACATATTGGAGCTGGCCAAGTCATTGGATGCTGCTCCGCAAGCCACTGTACACTCATTCTTCACCAAGTAAGTAAATTTTGCGCATTTTTTCCCCTACCTCTACATTAGTTACCTTTTTCATTAGCTATCGTTGCAAAGCATGCAGAGTAGGTGTCACATGTAAACCAAGTAAATGTCTTTGTAGCCTTACTATCAGTCTCTTCGTATCATTATACAGTACTCTTTCATCATTGCTGATCCTAGCAGTACACAGGACGCGTGTCACATAAGAATCTAGTAAATGGCTTAGTAGCCTTACCATCATTGTATCCGCATCATTATACAGTACTCTTTTATCATTGCTGATCCTAGCATTATGCAGAGCATGTGTCACGTAGTATTTAACAATTATTCTTCGAGCCCGAATGGGCTCTGAGTCAATAGGCCTCATGGGCTATTGACTCAGAGGCCATGAGGGCGAGAGGAATAATTGCTTTAGTAAAATCCAACTAGTTGGTCAAAAATATCGAGAACAAAACAATTTTAGCTAGTTAAAGCTAGACTTTAATCCTTTTTGCCGCCAAAAAGCGCGCGCTTTAACATATAGCCTATAGGCCTGTAGGCTATAACATATAGCCTAGTAGTAGCTCAATCAATCAGAACGCAGCATTGATAATAGACCTCTAGCTGGATTTTACTAATACAATGTATGAACTTGTTAATGGCTTGGTAGCCTTTAATACCATCATCGTATCCGCCTCATTATACATTACTAGCAGTATGCAGGGAGTGTGTCACATATGAACCCATATACTGATAGCATAGTTCACCTCGAATTCTTCCATGCCATAGCTCTAATCCTGAGTTTATTGTAAAATGTAACCAAGAAGTTTTCACGGTAACTAAACCTGGATTCAAGCTAGTATAGTCGACTTTTCAACAACTGACCGGGCCCTGCATGTAGATTAGAGGTTAAAACATGGTGTGTATTTACGTTTGATCTTCTTATCGTTCTAAGGATGAAAAAAGCAAAAACTGACTTCAAAGAGTACATGGAGGCCTTTGATGACGAACTCAAGTCGTTTTTAGTGAGAGTCAAAGAAAGAGCTGAGGCTAGGATTGAGAGAGCTATGAAGGAAGCTGAAGAGGTGAGACTCAAAAACAGGAAGACCCACACGAAATAAAATCGATTCAAAAACTCATTAATAATTCATGAAGAAAAACAAAAGAAATTTAAAATGTTTTATGAGTGTCTTAATGTCTGATAGAGACACGGCTAAACTTTACGTTCAATTTAAATTCAATTCAGATCTAAACATTAGTGCAAGAATAAGTTGATCAATATCGGAGCGCAATCGTGTTATTATCAGGTGTGAAAACCCTCGGCTTCGCCTCACGTTTTTAAACCTGATAATATACTCTTGCTCGTTTTTTAAACAGTACTTAAACTTAATTTATTCAGAAGCGTCCATACGCGGGAAGGTACAAGTGGCAGCTTAACCCTTAAAGTCACGAGAGTGATCTTGACCAACGTCAAATTTCTCCTAACAATTTCAGTACATAATCAGAAGAAAAGGTTATGAGAAATATTTTTAAACACTAAAAAATTCTCTCAAAAATTCTCCCATTTAGCAGGAGGCAGATGACTAGTTCACTAGACAGGGCTGTTTCTAAGATTTCAAATTGCCGTGTATATGCAGTTAGTAGGTAGGGAAGTGAACAGCCAGGGAGTTCTTTTGGTCTCATCTTTCTTTTGTTTTCCAGAAAATAGCCGGGGGTCATGCTCTTAGTAGCCGGGGAAATTCCCCGCCCCCCGGCCCTTAGTGACAGCCCTGCTAGAGTTCTTTTTTTTTTTGAGTTGGCATTTTTTGTCGTTTAGTTTTTCCAAAACTTGTTCTCATTGTAAACTGTGCTTGTCAGTCGTTATTCTGCACTTTACTGTGATTTTCCTCGCGATCTAACGTCTGTAGCGTTTTTTGTTTCATTTACCATTTTAGTGAAACATCATTTATGGCAGTAACGTATACAAGAATTAGTGACCGTAACTATATTTACATTATTCTCGAGGTATTAAGCTTCTATTTCGTTGAAAATACTTTGCGAACAAACAAAATAACGTCGTCAATGAAGTCAATTTCAGTTTTCCAACACTCAGAACTCAGAAGAAAACTTTCAAGAAGTTTAGCAAATTAACAGTTAACAGCGTATTGGTCTTTCACTAATTGGAGAGCGAAAGTAACAACCTTCGCTTTAAAGTATTTTGCTGAGCTTTTGCAAATTTTTCTCGTTTAACCGCGTGAAACTGTGATCTCGGCGCCTTTTAATACAAGGTACGTTTTTATGTTTTATTTTTTCAGGAGGATCGTCAAAAGAGACTGGGACCTGGAGGCCTAGATCCTGTAGAGGTTTTTGAATCATTACCACCGGTGAGTATGTTGTCGAGTATCGCAACAGACCGCGCGTATTCTTGCCTTGGTGACCGTAGGCTCGATTTCTGCCGCTCTCGGGTCCTACCCAACGGCATCGAGCCCAGGGTGATTGCAACAGCGTAAGGGTAATTATTGCGGGCAGGTGACAGTTCCCCTCACTCTATAGGAGATAGACCACACCACCGGAAACGAGGCCCCCCTCTCTTTTCGAAAATTAGTCTGAATTCCTTTACGTCCCCTTCGAACTGACAAGGAAGGATGGCGGAGACAATGCCAATAGCTCAACGGCACTGCCCATAGACCTGTCCCGCATTCCGCTCCAGTGAGCAAACAAAAAAAATGAGGTTGAGGCTCGGTTGGACAATTTCATACAAATCACTGTATTTTGTCCACCCGAACCTCGAGTTGATGCCTTTGTTTACAGGAATGCGGGAAAGGTCTATTGATATGATCTTCTTAAGTGATGTAAGTTGTATAAAATAAAATAAAGACCCCAATTAATGGTCCGACCGGAGTTTTAACCCGGGCCTCCTGTTCGGCAGACCGGCACTCTTCTTTCTGACCTATCCGGGCGGCCGAAGTTATTTTTTATAAATGATAGTTCATAACCCTACCCCTATTATTTGAAGAATGTATTTTAGGGCAAGTAAACAAATAATCAGTTTAAGAAAGAGGAGGCAAGCCAAGCCTGGTGGAGGTTTTGAACCCGGGACAAGCCAGCTAGCGGCTAGAGCGGAACTTGAGCCAGGGACCTCCAGATTACAAGCCCAGCGCTGTAACCACTCATACTAAGGCCATGACCATATACTGTTTGCCATACATTCCTCACTCATTGTACAAGTGCCACTCACGCACATTTACTAACTTCTTGGGAAAGTTGTAGACCATTTTACAGTTGTTGCCTTAGTATCCTGGCCTTTGAGTGAACGTGAGGCTGAGGTTGACCTTGTTTTGATACAAACCTTTCTTATGGAAATTATAGTTAAAAAGTACTAGTTAGCAATCGCATAAGGACAACAAAGCGGGAAGGATTGTATCAAACCAAGGTCAACTTCATCCTCGCTTTCACTTGTAACTTCGAGACCCAAGAAACCACTCACTGATGTTTGTGAAGACGTTTTCTGAAAAAATAAAGTAAGGCACTTTTTTTTTGCCTTTTAATAATGATTTCATTTATCTTCGTGAAGTCTGCGTTGACTTGGCAGAAATAGTATGAGGAAAATTACGGTGCTCACAGGCTACTTGTAGTCACTGGCGAAAGACCTTGACAACCATACAAAGCCACCGGATGTTAACATTAACATTAACGCAAAATGTAACAACCTATGACGCAAAGTGTAACATTAACGCGAGATGTAACAACCATTGACCCAAAATGTAACAACTTTTTTAACATATGCTTTTCACATTATGTACCTTTCATGTGTTCCCGATGTTTCATCTTCTAGCACTTATTTTTAAGTACCAACCGATATTCTTTGATCGCTGTAGACTCCTTTACAAGGGAAAATTCAGCGTCTAGTTTTTAGCTGACTCTCTGACGAGTTCATGTACCATATTTGGTCATCATTGAGCAGGTTTATGGCTGGAGCTAATAACACTTCTCCGTTGAGCCGAGTCCCGACCAAAATGCAGGAAATCCATACATGACCTTAGTCCAGTTTTTAATAATCGCTTTTTAATATCGAAAATCTCAATAAATATTCTCTTTACGTTACCACCATACAATTTTGACAACTGACGGTTTATTCCAAGTTTCTAAGTTATTTCGAGGCTGTTGCATTTTACGTTGTCACATTTCGCGTTAAAAATATTTTCATTTTGCGTCAAAAACTTGTTACATTTCGCGTCGATAAGTTGTTACATTTTTTGTCAGAATTTGTTACATTTCGCGTCAATGTTACACTTTGCGTCGAAAGTTGTTACATTTGGCCGTAATGTTTCATTGTGCGTCATTTTGCGGCGTAACAACCGGATACCGCATGCGTGATGAGATTATGATAATTGATAGATATAATACTTATCCAGAAGAATGTTAATTTCCAAAACCAACTTTTTTTTTCCAGGAGCTTCAAAAGTGCTTTGAGGAAAAAGATATTCCGATGCTGCAACAAGTTCTCGGTAAAATGCCGGAAGAGGAAGCCAGAGGGTATTTGAAAAAATGCGTCGACTCCGGCCTGTGGATTCCTAACGCACAGGACGCCCAAGCGAATGCCGAAGCTGAAGAAGGTGATGCGGATGATGAAGGAGAAGAAGAACAGTATGAGGCTGTCAGAGAAGAGGCGGAACCGGAGAAATAAGTCAAGTTGAGCTTGGAGCTTAAATCCGATTGAAAGTGTTTGGCATGTATTGGTCAACTAAATTACATAAGCATAGTCGAAATAAACTCTTCCGGATAATCTCGAGTTAGAGTTTTAACAGGAAAGATTTAGCTGTGTTCAGCAGTTAGTGGTCTTAAACAGGTTTTAATTTCAATATTCTGCTAGACTGCTCGACCAGTTTGCATTGTTCACAGTGTTGCGGCAGATTGCAAAAGGCTTTGGCGGGCTCACGCGAATCTGTGATTCTATGCAAGGTGCAGCTCAGTTCGGGTCAACATTTCTACGATCGAAGACGATATAAAGAAGAATGACTTCTGTAAGCTCCGGATATAGCTTCGGGGTTGTAAAAGTTTACACCTGTTTTGCCTCACCATTAAGGTAACCTTGTTTTGGCAAAGAATAGCAATCTGCTCTTAAAAGTAGATTTGAAATTTTTATATCTGTACGAGGTAAAGCTCATGTACCTATAAAAGGGAGATTTACGATTACCTTTGAAAGTCTCTCGGATCAATAAAATTATTGCTTGTCTACGTCTTCGTCTTTCATTTCATTTATCGAAAGTCTGATATAATGACCCCTTATTTAAAGAAAGAAATCTATTCTGTGCCCCAGTTGTAACGTACCCATTATAACCAATAATTTTCTCCGTTATTTCGGTTCTCCAGTGTACCACCTTACTGGTACTTAATTCCGCGATTTTGAGGAGACAGTATTTCGCGGAGTTCTATTTTCGCGATTTTAGCAGGCAAGTATGAAAAAAGAGCATTAAAATTCGCGCGATTTAAGCGATCTAAACTATTGTTTTCAAAGTCAGAACCGTTAAAAAGTTTTAGATATTACAAGTAATGTGTGAAGTCTTTTACAAACTAACGTTATATAAAACTGAAGATACAAAATGGAACTTACCCGTATCATCTTTCATCTGTTTCGTGTAAAGTAATGCGGTTGTAATGCGCAGCTAATCATTCTTATGTTAAGTTTCGCACAATAAGTTCATATTATTTACCATTTATTTATTATTTATTTTATTTTATTTGCCACACAATAATTACAAAAAATATAGGAAAAGAAGACAAAAGGAGGTGGCGAGGAGACCTAACAGAAACTATAGGAGCTTATGAGAGGTTAGGCCTCCTCGGACTATGAGCTAGAGCTAAAAAAAACCGGTTAGCAATTTGTGTTCGTCCATACATATCCCTGTATCTGTTGTTTCTATTTCAAGTCAATTCTGGTTTGAATTTTCTATTCGGGTTTTAAATTTCGCGAGAATATATTTTCGCGGGTCTTTAATTTCTCGATTTTTTTACAATCGCGAAAAACGCGAAATAAAAGACCCGCGAAATTAAATACTTAAAAGGTATATCAAACATGATACGCAGTGTTTCAGCCAAGATCCAACAGCGAGAAGTAATGTATCAAACACGAGATGGAGTGTTTCATCTGATTTCAAAACGCGAAAGAAAAGTTGTCTATTAAACACGAAACGCAGTGTTTCATGCCATGTCTATGTCCCTTTGAAGGGCACAAATATGGCTGCCGGAAACCAACAGAAACATCTGTCTTCGAGTTTTCCTACAAATGCGTGAATTCATCGCTTGAGGAACTCATATAGATTAAAGTAACATTCATTCCTAGACAAGGAATGTTTAGATAGAAAAATCTCACGAAACATTTTTAGCCCACAATTTTTTTCACGCAAAAGCCTTCATTGCAAAACGAAGTACCCTTTCAAACCGAAAATTTGTTTAAATAGAGGTGTTTAGGTGCTGTAATGCCTTATGACGGTAGAAACTCAGAAGAATCAGGGGCACCCAACGACAATTTTCGGAAAATATCTGTTCGGAAGACGATTTGAGATCTAGAATTTTCGGAACATTTGTCGTAAAATTTCTTGCTTGCCTGCTTCTCCTAGGATCTTCGAACATCTACGAACATCTAAAATATGGTATAATTGCCTATTTTTAACGGATTTTTACCCTAAAAAGGTCACCTAGAATTTTCGGGAGCCTTTTTTCTGGCTGAAATTTTCGAAACGGTAAGTTTTGATCCCTATAATTTTCAGATCACTAGACTTTCAGCTAGGAACTCCGAACAGATGAAAAATTTTTAGGGGATAAAACTATGCCGATATCTACCGTTTAAATACCAAAATACGTTTAGCAATGCTATGTTTTAGTGGTTTTGAACTATATTCTCGTTGGGTGCCCCTGAAGAATCGATAATTCATTAGTTTGAATTTTGGTGACGTCATGTGAAAACCAAGAATAATCGGAGCGCTGCGGGCTACTCTCGGAAATTACAGTGTGTCGATAGGGGCGTAGGTGGGGTGGGGGAATGGGTCTGGTGCTTACATAGCAGAAGTATATGCTTCTGTACATAGTCAGCCGGTGGATGTGAAAAATTACTGTAAAAGCAAGCGCCATCTCCCTTCTTCTAAAGTTAACCCTTTACTAACAACGACTTAAATGTGGAGACTACAAAACTACAAAAGTAGTTGAACTACAAAAGTAAAAGACCAAGTAATGATGAAATACGCGTTTTATTTTCATTAATTAATTTACATGGTCTTATTATTTTTTACATTTTTATACAATTTAACAATTTCATTTAGAGCGGTATTCTTTAAGTTTCCCTTAGCCTAGAATGTTCTTACCCCTAACAAATCATCCAAGCATGCGAAAAGAGGATCAAGGGGTAAACTCTCTTGTCTAAGTTTACCTCAACGTTGCCTCTAAGTACCCTTCACAGCTTTCGCATTTTTTTAATCGCTAGCATTAACGAAGGAGAAGAAACATTGTACAGCGATTCTCATGTCATCAGGGACTAGTCCTCAGCGAAGGTGGAGGGGGTGGGGTGCTAAGGAAAGGTTTAATAGAGGTGTGCCGAAGAGGCCTTCATATCCTGAAATCCAGTCCAGAAAAACACTCTTCAAGATGCTAAACAATGAATTTGCACACCGCTATGGAATTGTCCCCCGGGAGACTGGTCTCCTGGTAGCTTTTAGCCTGTTCTAGGCTCCCCTAAATATTAGTAGAGAGGTTAGCCTGCGAGAGCATCCGTTTTTTTTGGCTCTAGTTTCTAGTTTCACCCACCAAGAAAAACTGAAGGAAGAGAAGCGACGACCGGAAATACGTCTGCGGTTCGCAGGCTATAGAGACGTCTGACAAGAAATTTTTGCTTGTTGTCTTTGTTGTTGTTGTTGTGACTGTTTTTGTTTTCTCACGCTCTCTTTTTCTGTTTGCCTCTCTAATGGAAAGCCTGGAAAAGGCTGGATTTTTCCTAGAACAACTTATTTCCCTTTTTGTGTCTCTACACATGTTCAAGGTATAAATAGGCACTTATAATGCTTCGCACTCGAGATTTCTCTTTGGGTAAGAACAATTTAAAACGTACAAGTCTTCTGTATAATTTTTACCCCATGTAAGGGAATTCAGGACTGTCTTGGATTCTGGATTCCACGCCGTGGATTCCGGATTCTCAGGTACTGGATTCCAGTCTTTGACGGTGGAACTTGGATTCTGCATTCCAATCTTTAGAAGGGTTGCGGATTCCTTGAGCTGTATTCCGGACTTCAAAGGCCAGGATTCCGGTTTCTACGAGCAAATTCTCCCAGATTCTGGATTTCACACACAAAAATTTCTTGGATTCCGGAATCCGGAATCCCTTACATGGGGCGAAAAGGCTGATTTAGCAACAGAACAGGAACGTCAGTTGACGACGGCGCGCGCACATCAAACAACTGGCTTAACCAACGGCAGAGGGGTAAAGTGGGCACCGAAAGTCATGTTTAGTCCTTTCCGCGCGCTTTCCCGTCGTCAACTGACGTTCCCGTCCTGTTGCTAAATCAGCTCAATAATTCAATTAGATCATCTCAAATGGTCACAAACACTATTTGCACAAAAAAATCGACTTAACATGAGCTTAGCTTTGCCCAGATTACATCTATCACTTAAATTCAATTACCGATATTTTAATATCGCTCTTAAAAGCTCTTAAAATTACTGAATCGATCAATTTTCCTGCACAGTTTCACAGCGAATATACACCGAAGTATCGCGTCCACTTTTTCTCTTTAAGTAAGTAACTTACTCAAACACAAAAGTAGTGACTTCATAGCATCCTTTTTCTTGTTTAACTTCACTTGAATACGGAAGTCATGAATAGAAAATGAGGTTCTGACAGTAGGCTCAGCATTACTGAATCCTCCAGTGCTAAACTATATCAAGCATGGTCATGTTTCGATAATAACGAACCATGGTCAATAAAGTAGTAGTGACTTCTTGATGAAGAATTTTCAAATTAACGGATAGCGCATTGATACTCTTTCCCTACTAAAAGTTAAGGCGAGGTGACCTTTTTTACTCTAACTGTGCCCGATCTCCTACAGTATAACCATTCAAATGAAAGCTTTCTTTGAAAGTGCTACTTTCATCTTAGGATTTACAAAACGGAAATTTGAAACTTTGTAAATTTTTTTCACTCTGGCCAACACTGGGATAAAAAGATATGCATTTGGGCAAAACAAGGTACCTCAAACAAATTGTCAAAAGCAATTTCCAATTTCTACTTATGTCGATTACAAACTTAATTTAATTGTTTCGGACCGGAGCTTATAGAGTGTTACATGTTACATAACGTACTAACTGTTAAAATTTTCAAGAGCATCCATCCTTCGCGATCATGACGATTGAACATGGTGATCCTAGCTCAATAAGAAAAAGGCGTTCAGCGAAGTGTGCGCTTCACTCTATAGCTTCACCTTCGGGCAGCGCAGAGGTATTGGCCATTGATACAACTCCGGTATTCAAACAGTTGTTATAAAACCTGCCAAAAACAAAACACAAAACAAGAGGTTAAGAAGGCGCGGCCTTGGATTGTTACTACTACGGTACCGTTATGATAAGCATCCCACTGTTTGCAATCTACTAAACAAAACGAGCATAAAATGCTGTTATCTTCTATTGAAGTTTCTCTTCTTCATGTTTATCGCCTCCAGGAGAGTACAAAGTTGTTTGTAACAACTTTTTTAGCTGATGAGCCGCTTTCGCGCGTCTTGTATCCTTTCCATGATTCCCTATGCTCACTGATTACCGCGTGGAAGAGAAAGAGCAAAACATTTAGCAGTCTAGGAACTAAATGAACATTCACTGACCCAGTGAATGGGGTAAACTCCCAGTAGAAACTGTTAATGGAAAATCTGTTGAATAAACGTCTGCTGCCTTATATTAAATAATTTCAACATAGCTTTCTTTTTGACTAATTTTAACTACTTTAATTATTTAAGTGATGTTCAAACGGATATATTACCGACAATTCAACATGTAGAAATTAGAAGAAAATTTATTGTTTCACCCTGTTTATCGTTTATTTGTTCTCTACCATCGAAAGATTTCATTTTACTTTTGATTAACTTTTAACACATATTAATTACTAAGAAACGTCTTTCAAATACCCCTTTTTACTACAGCTGTACAATCAATTTACCCCCAGGGTTGCCGCTTAGTGAGAACAAAGTAAATTCCTTGACTACAAGACGATTTTAACTGATCATCTGGTTTGGCAGGCATTGGATAGTCTTCTCTTAATTTTAACTCGTTTAAAACGCTTTCACAGAATCTAGATTTTTTTCTGTCTCTAAGTATCAGAATAGTCACAACTGCAGAGCATTTATTCGTCAACTTAAAATTAAAATTATTAAAAATTAATTACTCACTGACTTTTGCAAGAAATAACATTTTCCCTGACTATTGCAAAAAACGTCTCTACTATTCCAGTTGTAAAACAAATTTGGCCCTCCTTGAATTTTTCCATGAAAGTGGCAGCCCTAAAATCTATTTTTTATCTCACTTTGTTTTTTAGAACGTTTATTCTTAGTAAGCTAATTTACTTATAACCTGTTCACTGTATCATTTAAAGCTTGTTTATTGCTATAAAATTAGTTTAGACTCTTTCACTTAACTGATTCTGGAAGATGTTCGCCTTTTGTACAAAGCTATACACAACAGGACGTAAAGTAAGTCAGTAATTAAACATTCTACATCTTTAGTTTGATTCCCTATACATCAACTTCTACTTTATTTAGTTATGAAAAATTTACGTGCTATTAAAATGCCAGTTTAGGTTTATATTTCAGAGCAGTTTATTCTTTTGATCATTTAACATGCTTTGCCACAAAAAGCTAAACTTGAGGTTAGAATGTTGACATGAAATACGACTTGAATGTCTATTTATTTTACACAAGGCTGAGTAAGCGAGATAAAAGAATTTAAGTTAAGTTAAGATAAAAACAGTGGATAGTGTTTTTCGCGCGCTCTGATTGGCTACTCAAAGTCGGGATATCCAGTGTAACTATTCACTGATTCACCTCCAGCTCCTTCGAGCAAGCGACGCCTCGCGTAAGTTACGAGCAAAATGGTTTCCCCGTTTGCTGCCGTAAAAAATAAAATAAATTCACATTGACAAATAATCTGACAAGCTGTCCCCGAAATACACGAAGAAGGTGACGAAATTCGCTTCGGAAGCTTTAACAGGTAAAGCTCAAAAACGTTGAAAAAGTTTTTTGTTTACAAATGCAAATTAAGCCACCTCCACTTCAGTGAAAAATTATTTCATATCCGAATCTGCAAGAATCATAGTTTTTGGAAGAGACTGTTTATGAAAGGCGGCAAACATCAAAGATAAAACAACGGTGTTGCAGTTTATGTTGAAAGCTCCCTGACGGTGTACAATTTTCTTTTGGCAAATTATGATGGAAAAAAATTAATGAGACGTTTAGACGTTTTTATGTCGGGTAAATACGATCAAAATGATAGGAACGCTATTGAACGTTGGTCCACAAAAAGATACTAACAACAAAGGAGGGACTGGATGACGGACTTCATTATACCATTGTACTCTATTAACTATGAAAAAATGAAGGGCTGTATCAAGACGTACGTTTAGGTATTAGAAAAATTCTCCCATAAAAACTGTTTTGCATTATTTTGGTTTGTTTGTTTCGCAATAGTTACGTCTACAAACCTTTTGCTGCAAGAATGGAATCAAAGAGCCTGTCTTCTTCTCGTTCTCTAAAAAAGTCAAGACAAACTGTTAAGAACAAAAATTCAAAGAAGGCAGACGATAAGGGCATAGTCCCTGTCTTCCCAAGCACGTTGCACCTGCATGAGAAACATTACCTCTTTCTTTCTTCCTCCAGCAATTCAACTAATTGATTTCTCTGTTCCACGATATCCACTAACTGTTTCGTCTTTTGTTGTACGATTCTGTTGTCTTGCTTTGATGGATCTGAAACAAAGAAACGGATCGGCTCAAATCATTATACATTTATCCAGCCAGCACAATAATTAATTAAAAATAATTTGGGCACATTTCTTCCTGCAACTAGAATCATAAGAAATGAGACAGAGCGACCATTAACATCAGTTCAACTTACGTTCTTTCATCAAAAGCTCTCTTATTTCCCCCTCCAGTCTTCCTTGTTGATCTTCAAGCTGAATAGAGTTGGCACTGCAAATTAAAAGCAAGTACGTGGTTACCGTTGAGGCTGATCAAATATTCAAGTTTTTGTATTTAAATGAAAGTTGCTTTCCTAGTCCCTAGGCCTCATTATTCCGCGCGGCCAAAGCCTTTCAGGTCATGTGATCCAAGCAAAGATGTGTATTTTCCCGCCCGTTCGCCTCGGATACTTCACCGAAGTGAATTGATCGAGAGGGAGTGGGAAAACGTCGTACAGAGACTAGGCAAGTTGCCTGATCTTCGTAAGATGGCAATCGCCAAATGTACGGGAATCCAACACAGTATTGGATTCTTGATTCCACACTGTGGATTCCGGATTCAAAGTATACCTTGTCAGTGAAAATAGAATTTCAGATTTCAGTCTATAGTGGGATTCCAGATTCCTTGGGCTGAATCCTACATTCCAAAGCCGAGGACTCCGGATTCCGAAATCCGGACATTACTCTACATGGAGCGATGGAATTACCGACGTTCTGTATTTCCCCTCATTAAAGAGGCAAACAGGAGCAAACAAAATACCGTAAAATTCCGAAAATAAGCCCCTCCGTATATAAGCCCCCAAACTCGTTACGCAAAAAACCCTCCGTTAAATCGCCCCCCCCCCCGTCCCCGAGGGCTTGTACTTGGAAATTGCCCTCAAATACAAAGTAAAAAAAACGGTAAATTTCCAACTATAAGGCTAGCCAAATCGATTTTGAAATGCAAATTTCCCTCCGTAGATAAGCCCCTCCAAAAATAAGCCCCTCAAAAAGGCCAACACTTATTTCCATCCGCCAAACTGACGTTGACAGATTAATGATTCGTACACAAAGTAAGGGTTAGGGTTAGGGTTGTTGCTATATATATTCAAATCAAACCATTCATTGTCAGCAAATCCTCTGTGGTGTAGGGTTTAAAGTGGTGCACTGCAGAAAATCGAAAGTACAATTCTAAATTTTTTTCCCTTAAAAATTGAAGAGACTTACACTTTTATGAACAGAAATTTCCAGAGACAGAGGAATTTCATGTAAGAAAAGTGAAATGTCTTGTGAGAGCCACTGACAGGAAATGTCAGTTTGGCGGATGAAAACAAGTGACAACCCCTCAAAAAGGGCCTTTGAAAAATATAAGTCCCGGGGCTTATTTTCGGAATTTTACGGTAAATTTAGATGTAAATAATACATATAGCTTCCTCAAAAAAGAGCCGGGTACTTACTGGATTACCAATTCTGATTCATATCGTATGAGCGCATTTTTCCGGTTTACAAGTTTGAACCACTGTAACATTAATTGCTGCTCTTCTGCTCCAGTGTCTGTAAATAGAAACCAAATTAAGGGCACATCAATACTACCACGCAGCGGTTGTATATTTCAGCCTGATTGCTGTCGTTAAACAAATTAGTAGCAACAAAACAGTATCCTTTCTGAAACGGAGTGCAGAAAACAGCTAGAGGTCGAAAAAAAAAAAGAAAAGAAAACAGTAGCGAAGCGGGAAAGACGGCAGAGTATTGACTGACTGAGTGAATGACTAGCTGACTGACTGATTAATTTTTGGATTGATTGATTGAAAGATCACCTGACAACCGGACTAACTAACTGTTTTCGTAATGGAATGATTGATTTATCGATGGATTGATCGACTGATTAGTTGACACTGGCATTGATAATTTGACTTATTGACTCACTTGTTAATACACTTAATGATAGATCAACGGCTGGCTGACTGACTGATTGACTGCTTACAAGTCTAAACGACAGGTTGACAGCCTGTTTTCTTAACGGACTGACTGACTGATCGATCGATCAATTGACTGCTTTGTTGACTGAGAGAGTGAAGGTACTCACCGCCTCCACTACGCAGAGCTTTTTCAACAACGACTCCCTCTCGCTCCAAATCTGCTTGTTTGACAGCCGTTTCTTCCAGTTCTCGCTGGATGGACTGTGCCATGCGCAGTCGCTTGGATTCGCGTTGTTTCATGGCACTACGAATCTTTGCTTGTTCGCGTTTTTTCAACTTATCATCTGGCGACTCCGTATTTCGTCTTGGCTAGAAAAACCACATTAAAGACAGTAATTACTTATTTCCTCGCCAAAATTTCATTAAGGAATCGATATAATATATAATATACATGGGCCAAATTCTCTGCCAGAACCACCATGAAGCAACAACACCAATCATGTAGTATTAGACAAGCCGCTCACAAACTGAAATATCGGAGACCTGTGGAGGCTGGACCCAAGAAACTACAATTATGGACAAAAGTCTTGGGACACTTTTGCATTTCTGGGGTGTTTTCCAATTCACACAGGCCCAACCCCTCCCTCACCCACAAACAACGTTGGACGCGCGTATCCAGAGTGTTTTTTTTTCCGAGTTTCAACGTTGTATAGGGTGGGGGAGGGAGAACTGCAAGAGAATTTCGAAAAGGATGCACTGTTTTATGAGGGAGTCCAGAAATGACAAAAAAATATGAATATTACATTACTGCCTCAAAGACTTTTCTCCATGATTGTAGTTTCAGATAGGACAAACATCAAGAATATATGCTGCTGGAACTAGAATATCACTGAATGAATTATTTGAACTGGATGGGGTAGAGTGGGGTCGGTGCTGCATCGTATTGCACTATGGGAATGTATCGGCTTACTGGCTAATACCAGGTTGCGCAAGAAACTGCCTCAAAATTCGTCCCCAAAAATCCCACAGTGCAGTTTGACACAATACCGACACAGCCTCTCCCTCCATTCTTTCCCTTTTTTCTTTTAGTTCTTTTTTTTTTTCTAGAATCACTGAAAACTGTCTCTACTCTCGACATCAAATATACCCCTCCTGTTATGACAATAAACCTCACCTTGCCAAATCGCCTGGCGTTTGCCCGTTGTAGCTTGGGACTGTTCTCATCTAAAAGATCGTCTTCGCTTGATTCTGAAAACAACTCTTCTTCTTCCTGCTTCCGAATCGCTTCTATGGAGAATTAAATACCACCGTTAGCTAAAAAGAGAGTTTTACCAACAAAATAACAACGAGAGGATCGAACATAACTGCCTACAGAAAGATATAACTCATGGAGATGTTAGCTTTTACAGCTGCTCTGTAATTCCGAAGTTTAAATAAAGGTGATGTTATGTTATGTTACTCTTTGTTAGTTTATGTTATACTATGCTGCGTTACGTTACGTTATGTTACGTTCTATTGTATTAAGTTATGTTACGTTATGGGTTGTTATACGTTTACAGTCTGTTTCACCTTGACTATAATAAAAAACGAATACTTGTTGTTACAGACATGAGTATCAAAAGCCGACTAGCCGGAAGGTTTTCATTCGTCCCTTACTCATACTCCCAATATCCATTTGGTGCCATGCGATATTTTTTATCGGAAAAACCTTCCATGAAAGAAGACATTTTGGGCAGTCATAACATGGTCTTATTGACAAGACTTCTCTAGTTGATAAAGTTGAAATGATGACAAAAAATAGTTTGAACGGTTAGTAAATTCTAAACGGAGAGGCATTTAATATCCCTTTGGATAGCATAACAATTAATACATGATATTTGCCACATACCTTTCTCGGGCGTGCTTAATCCATCGTTTAAGTCCACGACAACAAACCCCATATCTTCTTTGTCCGTCTTCTTATCCTGCTTTTTACCTTTCCCAAAGTGGAAACCTTTTCTACCCTTCTGTTTTTGCTGGACAATCTTCGTTGTTTCCTTGGTAGAGTGAAATGGTTCCTCCGCAGGAACTCTGGGTAAAGAGCGCCGCTGCGCGCTGGGACTGCCCGCAGGCGCAGCTTGTTCCTCTCTTGCACTCTTGTTAGATGGCTCACTCTTAACGGCAGAGACATTTTTCCTCTCCTCTTTTTCTTCCCATTTATCTTTCACGGGTAGAGGTCGGAAGTCATTGGCGATCAAATTTGTCAACCTGGCTGCTCGAGCTGCGACTAAGGAACGTCCGGGAACTTTTCCCGGTTTGTAATAAGACGGTGACGTAGGAGAGGTCGGTGAAGTTGAAGGTCTGGGTGGGGAGGTTGGTTCATTAGCAGTTGCTTTAGAAACCGTCTTGGGCCTAGTCTTTCCTTGGTCAACGGCTTTATTCCCCGTAGAGGAAGGATTGTCATCCTCGAGTGAAATGTCAACCATCTTAACATGCATGTGCTGTTGTCCCCTGGTAATTTGACTGATTCCTTCCAAAGCGTCCTGTGTGTCCTTGTCCTCAGGATTGAAGTAAGTCGATAACGGGGGATACATGGCTCTCCGCGACTTTGCTTTCCTCCTCTCTAATGTCCCAAGCTTTTGAACCATTCCTTCCTGTGCGTCTTGCTTTTTCAACCACGATTTGCCAGCAGCTGCAGTCTTAACGGCGTCAATGACGCTTTTTCGCTCTTCTTCTCCTTTCTTCTTCCTTTCATCAGCAAGCGGTTCCTCCATGTTGATATCCACAGTCACTTCTTTGACTGGTGTCCCTGTGGAGGAGCCAGGAGTGGAAGGCCGCTCAAACTCGACCGCTTTGCGAGTTCCATTCCGGGAGGGCATTTGCAGAGGACGCCCATCTCTCTTTGCGCCTCTGTCATCCACTAGTCCGTCACTAAATGTGTAGCCTACCCCTTTATCTCGCACCGTTTTATCAGACTTTCGCACAGAGGCTATGCTTGATCGTCTCAACGGACGCGCTTCTAGACGTTTATATTTTCCGAAAGAATTGGATCGCTCGTGTTTAACTCGCGATCCATCATTGTCCTCCCGGCCTAATATTTCTTGATCGTCATGGAAGCCATTTATTTTAGCATTGTCGCACTCTGGTTTTGGCTCAAAACTGACAGCTTCCCTGTCATCAGGTTGAAAGGTTACCTCAACATTCTTAAACAAGGTATTAGGTGCGGCCGATTTAGATTTCGTAAGTCTTGGTCTTCCTTTTCCCGGTACCTGACCTTCATCTGCAGAGAAAAACATGACATGAAAAAGTAAATAAACGTCAAGTAGAAACTTCCTAACAGCAGTAGAAGATGATGAAGAGGACGGTTTAGGTTCTTCATCAGTTTGCACATATACTGCGTACATAACTGTGTTCTTCTACACGTAAGGGTCTCCATCCGCGCTTGCTCTAGCCCCACCAGCGTATGAGAATATTATTTTTAGTGCTCTCAATTTCTGTATAGATTCTATTTTGTAAGAAAGATAACCTGATAGCTATAGAGTGTTTTCACTCACGTGGTCAGCATCGAGGCAAATTTATTGGAACAGAAGAAAGAGTTTGCATAAGAAAAGAGTTCAACTCCCAGAGGATTGGTTTGGGACACCAACATGGCCGCCGATTCATTGATTTGGGACACCAACATGGCCGCCGTGACGTCATATGAAAACACTCTATACACACAGGTGTGACTTTATCTAAACATACCAACAGGCTCCTCCTGCATCTTATACAGCAATTGATCATAATGTAAGTGGCATAGGAAGTGGCCTTTTTCGCCGGGTGATGTTGGAGGTATATAGGAGTAGGAACCAAGCCTCAGAGTACAGCCACAGTTCTCGCACAGGAAACATTCGCGATGGAAGAAATGTCCCTCAGCAGATAATCTCTCCATCAGGTAAACACGCCGTTTACAGAAGAAACACATTTCACTGGAGTCCCTAACTGAAGGGACATTGCTCTAAAAAGAAAACAAAATAAGAAAGAAATTTAAAGGGCGCTTTGCTCTCAAACACAACATCGGCGCAATTGGCCATCTTCTAAGCGAGCAGGGAACTGGTACGACTTCTCACTGCAAAGGATCCAGGGATCGTTTGGAGGGACAGCCGAAACATGGCGGACAGCAGTAGTTGCGTGTTACTCCTTCGATCCTTATCATTACATGCATTTTATGTCAAGTATAGTTATTTGAAACATTTACTCTAGTAATAATTGTGGAAATGTCTCACTATGAGTCCTCATTTTCCAAGATGTCAATCCAAGATTTATCTCTACAGAGAAGGATGTTGTGGGACAATTCCTCGGCAAAAGGAATAACTTAACATTGATACACAACGGCCATAGAAATTAACGTAGGTTGATCGCGAAAGACCTCGTAGAAATGCAGTCTGATACCCAACAGCGGAAGTGAAACAGTGTTCTTAATCAATATTTTATGCTGCACAAATTTAGTATTTGTTATCTAAAACGAACGAAATCAGAGCTGCCTTACGGATTCTTATGGGTTCTGGAGAAACAAATTTCATTCAAAGGACATATATTCCTTCTCTTCCTAAATAAAATAAAGTAATTAGAAGTAATCTAAGATGGTGGTGATGGGAAGGGGGAAAATGCCCTTTCTCTCTTGCCTTCCCATCACTCCCCGGTCGCGCTCCGCGGTCGTTCCCATGATCTCTTTCTCGCACTTCTCACTGGTCTCCAGCTCTCGCGCTTCTCACTCGTCTCCAGCACCGTGCTTCCCAATAAGCCTTGGGAAAGCCTGTGGAGTATGCACTAATATAAATGCTTTCAAACTAGTAATAACTAAAGGTTAGGGAGTACGGGTGACTACAATCGAAGGTCCAACCGCTTTTGTTCCAATGCTGTGCTTTGCGTCAGTTTCGCGTGACAGATGGTCAAAACACGAGTGATCAAATTACGAGGGGTAGAAGGTCGAGACGCTCGTGATCAAATTGCGTTCTGTGTATTCCATTCATTCTTAGTGGAAGTTCAAACGAATGTTGGCTACATATATGCGACGCATGCGTAATAACAACCTGGAGATTAGGATTGCGGACTCTCTTGTCGCCTTACCTTGTTACCTCCGCCAGGTCCGAAGACTTGCTCCGCTAAAGCACTGATGCGGTTACTAGCTTTACCAGTGGTGACAGCTGGGCCCTGGGACGAGACTTTGCATGGTGGTGAGGTATCCATAGGAACCACATTCTCTTCATTTTCCTGTAAGCAAACAAGTGGTCAAGAAGTTGATTTGATATCCGGACACCTCGCCATCAAACCATCTCGTCACCATCGAAATCACCACCAAGAAATAAATATCTTAATACTTATCGAAAGGACAAGTCTCTGAAAAGAATTCTTTCACTTTAAATTCCCAATGAAATTGATCAAGGAGGTAAGGTTCAAGTGACAATATTAACCAAGAGTTGCAGAGTTATTATGTCGAGATGAGTAGACTTCTTGGTGGCGTTTTCGTTGGTGGCGAGATAGTTCGCTGGCGAGATGACCGTAAAACGATGATTTTAACCAAAGAAAACATCATTATGCAGTATTAAAACACACTTAAAATCGAAACGACCGCCTTAAATTATCGAAAAATACAAACGGAAAACGAAATGCCAAATGGAGCAAGGATGGAAAGAAGTGGAGTAGATTCAAAGGGAACGCAAATGTCGCGATGACAAGTTTGCCAGTGTCAAAGTGATGGCATGCAAATATGATTTACAATAGTTGGCAATAAACTTTGACAAAACAAATCTGCCAAAACTACTGCCACCAAGTCTGTGACTTACAGCGTCTATAATAATTATGTGTATTGTTTACTAACACACGCGTCAATAATGTAGTACCTTGATTCGCGCTTTTAATTTTAGGGCGTCTTACTTTAGCATGAAAATTGGTAAAAGTAAAGTTCTTACCTTGGATACTGCAGGTCTTTTTCTTTTTGGAACTATGTCAAGAGCTTCTTCGCTTCGCCTTTTCTCCTGCAATAAGGAATGTTTCTTCAACATCAGAAAACAGAACAATCTCAAAAGTCAAACTAAATGCACGTATAGATTAGATCGTGAAAGAGGAAACAACAATTTGGCGACGAAAGAAGTACCTTTCTCATTTTGATTAATTTCGTGTAAAAAAATACTGATAAATCCCCTTTAAAATAAAAACTGTCGAATTATATTCATTGTTCGTGCAAAAAAGGAATTTTCATTTCCGGTAGAAGAGGTAATTTTTTTTCAACGACGCTGTACTACCTACGGTGCTTTGTTATTTTAAGATTAAAAAGCGTTATCAAGTATTGACCAACCTTGTGAGTGCGACGAGAGACTCTCGTTAACACTGATAGCTTGGAAAGTGGAGATTTGGCCCTAAACTCATGCTGCTCTGGAGCCAATTTCTTCCCTTCCGCGGCAACTGTTGGTTAATCAGTCGGGCATACTTGATTAAGAATAGTTATAAGCTGTAGTGTAGTTCAATTCCGTCAGTAATTATTCGTTGTCTTGTAAACAGTATGCTGGATTTTAACCTCTTCGTTCAAAATTTCGTTTAAAAGGCTTTCAAACATTTACATCCAACAGAATGCATCACAAACCAATAATTGATCGTTTAGCCACCCATCCATGTTGTGTACAGTCAACTCTCTATAAGACGGACACCTTTGGGACCGGCACTGAGTGTCCGTCTGACAGAGGTGTCCGTCTTATAGAGAGTCAAATAAAGGGAGTAAAGAAAGGCAGGGACCAACTCTAAGTGTCAGAGGTGTCCGTCTTATAGAGGTGTCCGTTAAGAGAGAGTCCACTGTATCACTCACTCACTCACGCCCATGAATGCCGTTGGGCATGTGGGGCAGCAACAAAGGATCGCAACTCCTGTCTGGGCCAGAACATACAAGAGTGACGATCCATGTTGTGTATGGCAAATACAATGTTGGACGAAAATGTTTGATTGTTTAGCCGCGGCCTGATGAATCTACTATGAAGACAAATTTTATACGGACAAGAGTTTATCGCTTAGTCTAATCCAAAACACATTCAAGTGCAACTGTTCTAATGCTTCGTGTATTCCAATTCAATCATCAATCAACCGCACGGTTGCACAAAATCGCAAGAGTACAATCTGTTTAGTAACAAGTGTGCTCGATTACAGACCTATTGGACGACAATTTGTTACTCATGAATCAAAACTGAAAAAAATGAATTAAATAAGGACAAGATTGTGACTGTAATGGAGGGCGGGGGGTGGGGGGTGGGGGAGAGGAAGCGGTAATAACCCGCGTTGCAGTCGTTTCCTTTTCCCTTTAGCCAAACGACACACGCAAGGAAAGGAGCAAAGAAAACAATCAGGCCCTCGCCCTTCCCACCGCTCATAATTGTTAGTTCCTTTTTCGCCCTTGTCCCTGCACGTTTTTAGCTCTTGCCCTCGCGTGTTTTTCGCTCTTACCCTCGCGTGTTTTTCACCCTTGCCCCACTGTACTTGGCTTAAAGGAGGTGAAAATGACTGCTATGCTTAAGAGGCACTTGCTGTTTATATTTTAACGGTAGACCTGAACTGAAGAGTGTTTGGAAGTCAAAGAAACGCCAGAAAGCGTCAAATTAGCTCAGGTACGACCCACGAAAATAACAAAAATAGTGAATCACTATAATACCTGGCGTCTCATTCTTAAAGACTTCATGGTATTGAGACACATAACTGACTATCATCAGCGTATCAGGAACATCTTTCATGACCATCTCACTGGCAGACATTTGAGGAGGAATGCCAAGATGCTCTTCAGCAACATTAAATGCCTGAACGAAATTAAAAGCACAATAATTCTTTACTACACGCATACCTTACGAGTCGAAACATTTAGCCTTGCCCAACTGCTTATCGTTTACCTTACAATAGTCATTAAGATTTTAAAGTGGACATTTTGGACGCTTCCTATATTGAGTCGGAAGGGCGTCTTCTTGGAACTACGCGCAGGCCACGCCCCACTCGAAAAAAAAAATATAAATCGTCGCTCTTAGGAGAAAACTAAAAAGTCCCGTCCCCAAATTTGGCAGCAATGCAACCTTTTTTCGGTATACTTTTAGACATGATTGATTCCGGTATGACTAAATGAAGAAAGATTTTTCATGTGCCTTTATAATTGAGAACAAAAAAGGACGAAACAAAGAAAAAATTAGTATTACTTCATTCGCAAATGGGAGGTTTTGTATACTGAAGCAATGCCCACACGTAAGGGCTGCACCAACAAGTCGAAAAATAAATAAGCGCCACAGGGTTTTTCAAGTAAATACCGTTCTGCTAATCTGCATCAGCAAACGATATTGACTGCCTGTGTTACAATTTAGAGTGACCAGTAAACACCTGATGAAAACCGGCAGTAAGGGTTCAAACGTACGTTATGATCAATAAAAATAGAATATTGTTAGACAAACATCTTTCATTAACTTTTAACTTACAGTTTGACAAGATAGTAACTAGATTAGTAGGCATGTAGACTGGTCTTACCAACTGCAGGTTTGCCAAATGATCTTTAGGTGATAGAGATGCATAATCACTAAAAACAGAACAAATAATAAGGTCAAAATATCTGCTCACGAAGGCCACCTCATCCGTTCCTTGACAAAACAGTTATAGTTACTCGAGAGGCAGGACTAAAGGGAGTCAACAACCGCCTGTTTCTCTCATTCAATTACTTGTATATATCATTCCGCTGCCTGACAACAATCCTGTACTGCTAAGGGTCCATAGCTATTGCACCGTGGTCTCTTGCAAAGGACCTTCTCAGAAATTCTCACCATGAAGAAAACTTAACAAATAAATCTAAGAAAACTACCAGAGGGTTTGAAAAATCATTTAAATGAACCCAAGGTTAAAACATGAGAAGCCACTTACATGAGGTCAGGCCTGTATCGATGAATGATGGCACAGAAACCAAGTCCACTCCGCCACGATGTTGACATGTCATTAATCTTCACATTCTTGTACTTTCTTGTTTGTTCTTGACACCATTTTAGAAGCATCCGAGCATTAACTAAAAGGAAAAGATTTAAAATGATGACAGTCTATTAAACTGTCCATCACTGTTGAGAATTAATGATTCTTAGAATGTTTTTAAATATTATCAGGCTCTTAAACGCCCTAGGTAACCCAAACTCTAATGTCAAATTCTCCATTTGTTTGACAAGCAAACATAAGGCAATCTGGCTATTGATCAGTCACTTGCGGCTTTTACTAGAAGCCACTAAAATTAAATTCCAGCTTATCTTTTGGGCAACTCCCATTTTGCTTTCCCAGGGTCACTCCTTGCTCGTCTTAGTTAACAATTTTTCTTAGAGGATGACTTTTCTTCCTGAGACCCGTTTCTCCAAAGTCCCGATAATTAACGGGCCCGGTAAGCTGTCTCCGTTTACATTAAAGATCGATGTTTTAATAGTTTTGGATCTAACATGACAAATCTATCAGTTAATGAAACAAAAATAATGGAGTAGTTTGCTAGCCAGGAGCAGCGCTCTTATTCTTTATATTTCGATTTGAATTACCGGGACTTTCGAGAAACAAGCCCCAGGACCCTTGCCCACTAGGCAAATAAGCTTTTAACCCTTTAAGCCCCAATAGGCCATTTCTGAGTTCCCCCGGGCCTCTGTTTCAAAACGAGGGTAGGTGCTCAGCCTTTGATATGAAAATCATTTTTCATTCTCATGCAAATAAAACTCATTTTCACAAGGAAGGTTGTGCACCTAGCCTCATTTTGAAAGTGGATTACTGGACTACTGGAAGGGACATTTTTAGTCCGAGCCCTGCATCCTTTCTTCTCTTACCTCCTCCTTCAACAGAACTGACATCCTTACTGGTGTCCATGGGTTCTGGTCCATCATCTTGGTCTATAGGCCCGGGTTTATTGTCAAACAGATGCTTCACTCTGTTGTGAGAAACACTTGACTTGTTTAAATTAGGGTACCGTGTGGCGGGGTTTATACTAAACTCTTCATAATTCTTGGAAATGTTTTCAGGAGTTGTCTGAGCAAGGAGACGAAAAATGCTGTCTCTTTCGGCAAGAAGATCCAATGGTTCTCGCCCCTGTCCCCAGCCTTTCATTATCCATGCAGCATCAAAGCATCCCAAGAAACCTCTTGCACAGCCTGATCCTGTAGGCCAGAAGGGCTAAAACAGTAACAAGTCAATTTAGAGACCTTCACAACAGAAGACATGCAGTGTGGCCAAGCAGTTAGAGTGCAGGCCCCAGTTGTTCAAAAGTTGGATAGTGCTATCCACCGGATAAATCTCTACCTAGTGAATAAGCATTAGCAAAATCAATTGCACTATCCACTGAACAGAGATTTATCTGGTGGATGGCGCTATCCACCTTTTGAACAACTAGGGCCAGGACTTGTAATTCGGAAGCCCAAGGTCAAGTCCCGCTCTGACTGCGAGCTGAATTTGTTGTTGGCAGTCCCGAGTTCAAATCCTCGGCCATGCTTGTAAAATAGGCAACTGGTTCACCTCATACCAGTTGGGATTTTTAACGATGTTGTTTCATTTTAAATTATTTGAATGTTTCATTATCTCTGAAAATTCCCATGAGGGAAGAGGATAGCAAAGCATTATTACTAATATACGACTTAAAGCACACTTTAAGATCAACCAAACCCATACCTCCAGTAAACTGTCTCCCACAACTGTTGCAAGTAGGCGTCGTCCTCTTCTTTCATAGATTTTTGCGGCATGTTCTGAGTGGTACAGGGATGTAAAATCAAACATAGCAACATCCTCTTTGTGGTAGTGATTCAAAGCAAAGTCAAGATTTGGAAGCTGATTGTTAGTTGAGAAGTTGGCCGCTTCTCTGGCGTAGGCTAACAGCTTATCATGATTGACATTGTTTGTTTGAAGAAGGTCATAAGCATCTTGGAAATCCTGTCCATGAAAATTTTATACAGAAAAAAAACAAGTTAAATGTGGCTAAATGAATTAATTTGGGCTACATTAAACTCAATACAGTGCTGGCCAGCTACATATGTCTCTCTTGTTGGTGATTTGCACGGGCACCCTAATCACAGCCCTCTCAGGCACCTCCCCCCCCCCACACCCTTATCTCTGTGGATGAGTTTACTGAGGCTAAAATGCAATATAATTTTAAGAAATGATAAACTTGAATCAGTATGGGTCCAGCAGTCACATGATTTGCATGGTGGCCTGACCTATGCACCTGCTAAAAAGAACACACTACCTTCGTCAAGGTAACTACCGTAAATCCAGGGTTTTTGTTAGACCCGGGACACCAGGACCTTTGCTTGGCTATTTCAATTTTCGTCCCGGCTATTTTTTAAGGCTGCGCTTATAGATGTTCATAATTTTATTCCCTGTTGTTAAACCCAAACCGAATAACAATGTGGAACATTACAGTTTATACGTGTTGTTTTGCACCATGTTTTGCCGTAGTATGGCCCAAAATGCACCCTGGGGCCTCAAAAATTCTAAAATTTTCTAGGGAGTGGCCCCCAACCCCCCCAGTAGAGTAGCGACGACCCCCCTCCCACACCTACCCCAACTTGGTACTGTGTGCCAAGATGGTGGCTCCACCGCCATATTTCGTCCCTGCTATTGCTACATTTGTCCCTGCGACTTCAAATCTTAACAAAAACCCTGGTAAATCTCCTATTTAACCCCCGGGGGGCTTACTTATTTCAAACACATTTGAAGGAGGCGCTTGATTAATAATAGAAACAGGAGGCTTATTTGAGAGGAGGGGTTTATTTAATTTAGCAAAAATGATGGTATCAGTTCTCCATATACAACTAGAATGCAAAGTGTAAAAGTTCAAGTCAAGAGGTTGGAGGTCTTGCAGCCAAAAACCAATAAACCATCCTGGATCAGTCCACGAGAACTGTTACTGAATTGTGATTGATTAATACAGTATATCATTTATTAGTGAAGATTAATAAGAGGGAGAGTAGAGTGGGTTTATTAACTTCCTTCCCCTGAAAAGAGAGGGCTAATTAGAGAGGGGGCTTAATAGAGGATTTACCTATATTAATAAACATGTATTAAAGCCACTTGAAGTTTGAATTGATGTGGATAAAAGAAGACAATGGTATAGTCTTCAATGTGGATCTAGAAAGACTAGAAAGACTTCAGAAGACATCAGTGTGAATACACAATATGTTAAGATACTTATAGTCATATACTATATACCAGTATGTGATACCATTCTTGAATATTCAATTAATAATTGGTTGTTTGCAGTATGTGTTCATTGACTTCTGCAACGAGAGCTAAAATTTTTCACTGCTTATTAAAATTCCCATAACATGTGGATATCTTATTGTTCAAGGTTAGTAAACCTCACCTTTTTCAGTACTCCTTTGTGAAGTAAGCTCTTTTTCTTGGCACACATAACAAAGTAATGTGTCTCATCTTTGTAATAAACAATGTTCTCCAGATCAATACCAGTGTTATCTTTCAAGTCCTGAAAAAACTGCTGATTGAAGATGAATGCCACTCCACTGATTTCCTCGACTCTTGCCTCCTCTTTTGTGTTTCTGTTCTGAAAGTTCACAGTAATACCAATAGCAAGTTTACCACGGAATTCTTTCCCTTTGAAGCCTTTCAATGCCGCTCGCCTACCATCTGCCCCCACAATGATGTCAAAATCAAATTTGTTGAGGGTATGAGATGGTGGATCAAAGGCTCCTCTCCATCCATGTGCTGTAATATAACACAAATCAAAACCAAAAAAGATTAACTAAACAATAACTGTAAAGGGCATGCAACCACTCCTTTATAAGGACTTTTAAAGGGTCTATTGTCACACTATTTGCTATCTTTTTGAAAAGCTTGAATATGTGTTGATCAGTATGGTCCACTTGCTACAATTTATAGACTATATTATTAGCATTGAAACTGTTTCCTGTCATCTGACGCTACAGATGGCAAGGATGGAAAATGGATGGAAACTTGAAAAAGTTGGGTTTAAATACAATGCCTTCAAAAATTTGTGAAAAATATTATGGTTTGTGCTCCCTGGTGAAATTTTTTCAATACCTTTATCATAACGGAATTAGGAAATGTGTAAAGGTAAAAAGTATATAATGACTTGAGCACAGAAATGACATAAGACAGCAATATCATCAAGGCAAAGCCCGCATGATAATCGTCGAAACAACAGGTTTCAGATGCAGATTAAGGTTTTTTATTATTTTTATGGCACTATTTGCAAGAGGTTACTACAAAAATTACAATACATTACTAAAGCAAGAAAAAAAAAACCCAACAAACTACATAAATCATGAAAGGTCAAATGTGCGTAGTGACCAAAGGAGCTTAGGCTTTCGAGTTGGTCACTGCCACGTGCAACTAACTGGTGTAGGCATTTACATAAAACCACAAGTACTGTAACAGCATGAATTAAGAAAATATGAGTCCTTTCAAACTTGTAATAACTTTATGTTAAATAGCTTTATCATTTCAAGGCAGGCAAACTTTCCTGGGGCTCTTATTTAGTACTCAGGTTCAAAACAATTAAAGAGTCATCATCAGTGTCCTAATATTTGTGCAGATTAAAAGGAATGGCAAAGTTATCTTTAAAAAGACTTTTGCAGTCAGAGAGCTGTACGTAAGCTCCCTTGTAATCTTCATTAGAAGACCTGATCATAGTCCAGAGTACAAACAACAAGCTGTGCTCTAGCAGGACCCAGTCGCCCAAAAACTTTTGAAACTTCTATTTAAATTACACATTATTCCAATAAAAATCACTTGCATTAAGTGCCATGAAGCTCATTATTTTGGTCTATGGCTCAGTAGTTAACATGATATTCTGTTAGGTTTAAATAGATTTTCAACATAAATAATCTTGTGTAAAGTCATGGTTAATGGGACTTGTCATTGAAGCCTTGCTCTGTCCTTGTCATTTGTTTTTTTGATTGTTGTTGTTATTGTTGTTTCCTGTTTTACTCTAGTTTTAAAATTTCATGCTGGTGCGGCAACAATGTTGTAAAATGAAAGCAAACATGTATAAAATTCTTACCATCTGTAGGTTCCACTAGCTTTATAAACCCACACTTTGGATAAACTTGCACGCCAAGAATAAGAGACACCTTGAGAAGAATCAGCTGAAGTCTACGGATACCTGAAATCATGACAATAATGTTTTAAGGTATTGATTTTAGGAGATTACATCCTAGCCCCAGTCCCCTCAATGTGTTGTAGAAGAGAGTCCTATATACCTGGTGCCAACTCTTGTCATGTCCCAACCCAGGGAGAGGGGGGGCGGGGGATACTGCCCTATGAGCTACATAGACATGTGCTGCTGTGAAGGGTTTGTTTTTTAAGACGTTTAGTTGACTAGGATAGGATATAGAAATCAGAGAGTTGGGGTTTTCCAAAAAACTGATCAATTAGCTAAAGATTTTAGTCTACACTAGCGAAAATGGGAATTGACAGTCAAAAAATGAAATCTGGAAATAAAAATTTTCCCCCAATTCAATTTGCGCCTCTACGATAGGGAGGATTTTTGAGAGTTACAGTATAAGTCTAGTATAGGGTAGCAAAATTCAGCTGACTTAGCTACAATCATGGACAAAAGTCTTGGGACACTTTTGCATTTCTGGGGAATTTTCCAATTCACATAGGCCCATTACCTCTCCCCTCACCCCACAAACAATGTTGGATGCATGTATCCAGAATTTTTTTCGAGTTTCAACTTTGCATAGGGTGGGGGGAGGGGAAACTGCAAGAAAATTTCAAAGGATGAACTGTTTTATGAGGGAACCCAGAAATGACAAAAAAATATGAATATTGCATTACTGTCCCAAGGACTTTTGTCCATGATTGTAGGTCCCGAATAGATTTAGTGTTCTAGGGTCGCTGCAGCACATTTCCACCTAAAAAGTCCTGAAGTAACACCCACAGGGACTCAACAACTCACAGCATAGGTCTCACACCTATTGCTGAAATCCTGAGGCTGATATTTGGGTTGAGGTTTTTTGGTGGTTCTCGCCCTTGCTCCAGGAGGTTTTTATGTACAGTAAGTTTCTGCTAAAGGTTATGCAGTGCTGCCAACCTCTTATATTAACAGCCACTTGCCACTGGGCTTTGATAGATTGTGCTCACAAGAGAAAGATAATATGCTACTAGCAACTTGCTCGTATATTTCTAAAATTATGCCAATAATTATCCTAGTTTTTGTAAATCATGATCATTTTAGTAGAAAATGCAGAAATTATGCTCTTTCTTTTTACTTTAAATTTGATAAAAACACCTCAATAACTATGGAGAAAAAACAAATGACAATTACAAATAACTTTATTTATATCTACATGTAAAAAGTGCATAATTTATTGTCTGTTAACTATAAAAACTTTAAAAAAATAACAACTCGCACGCTGACATGATCTTGGGTAACCGAGCATGTTATGTGCACATGATGAGCCTTGCGGAAAGAGTCCTGTGTCACTTTTTGTGGGACATAGGTCCCATGAATGTGAATACAAACACCCTAAAAGTTGGTTTCTTAAATTTGCCTGCAACACTTATCCCAGGTCAAAAAAGTTGGTTGCATGATTCATGAAAAGACAATTTTGGGCAGCAAAACAAAAGTTAAAATATGCTTAGCAGAGCTTTTTTTGGAAAATAGGTGAAAACTATGCTGCCTCTAAAAGACAAATTATGCAAAAAATTATGCTGTATACTGTATTTATTCGAATAAGCGCCCAACCTCAACTTAGTGCCCACCTCGAATAAGCGCCCATCCTGAAGGCCTGAAGGCAGAAAAAGTTAATAAGTGCCCAGCCTCGAATAAACGCCCACCCCACCCAACCTCCCTCCCACTCCTACTTAAACTCAAATAATCGACCACCCCCACAACACCCCCCAAAAAGTGAATAAGTACCAATAAGAGACTTCCCCAAAGACAAAAATTTCTTTTAAGTATTTTACAGGAACCTTACTCTGTTACATCTTCGCATTTTGTCATTACCATTTATTGTTTTGTTGCAAAATAAACATACTACACTTGCTGAAAATGCTGAAAATTTAATAAGCGCCCAGCCTCGAATAAGCGCCCACTCTCAAGGTCCAAAAATTTAATAAGCGCCCAGGGCAATTAATCGAATAAATACGGTATCCTACTTGCTGCTACCCTGAGGGTGGCCGCCCTCATAATAAATGGCAGTTCAAATGTATTGTGGTGTAAAGCCATTACAAAGTCTTCATTTGAATGAAATGAATAATTGTGACTGGAAAGGCAAAACAGACACTAACAGAAACCCATTCGAATGGAAAAAATGCACAGATAACAAACGGTTAATGAACGTTCTACAAAGTGTTCGACGAATGGTTTGACTAACCATTCAAACGGATGAATAAATTTTTCAAACGGATTGGCGAACCATTCGAACAGATGAATAAAACTGTCAAATGGATTTGTTAAAAACACTGATAAACTGTCTGGGAAATAATCATTCCAAACAAAACTGGCGATGTTTATCTGTTATTTTAGTTGAAGTAATTATAAAAATTCTCGTGACTGAAAAACAAAAGAGTATTTTGATTTCTGTCTCATCGCTGGGCGACATGACAGCTTTTAGTCTAGTTCACTAATGAAAAAAAAATTCTCTGCTCATTGATGGGAAAACAAATGATGCTATTTATTCCTTGCAACAACTATATAAGACATAGTTATAAAATCATTTTCATAAAAAATTGTTCAAACAGGCGTCTTAACCATTCAAACGGATGCTGCAATTATCCTTCAAACAGAAGCTTCTTTTTTACAAACGGATAGGTAATCCATTCAAACCGATGCCAATTTTTTTTAACGGATATGCAAACCAATCAAAGGGTTGATCAATTGCTCCAAATGGCTTTTTTAAAGAGTTTGAATGGATAAGAGACGCTTATCCTCTTGAAATGGATAACCGTTAACTAGTGTCTGTTTTGCCTTTCATGGTGACAATTATGTGAACACCAGCAACTAAGAATAATAAGTAAGGAATGCTATTAACATCTAATATAACAAAAGACAACACTCAATTTAGTGATAGACTTCAAGAACAAAGGAATTCTGTTAACTCTAGCAAGTCTTGGTACAATAATGATTTTCAACCCCAACCCACCAGACTCAACCTGTTTTATAAAAGCAAGGTTGTCAGTAGCCTGCGAAAACGTCTGTTTCTCCTCACTCTCCGCCGCTGGGGACGTTTCGCGAGGAGGAACGTCTGCGACTTAGCGACAGAAATTCCATACTGATGACGTAAAATCTGTCCAGAATCCAGTCAGAAGCGCTGATTGGTCGACGGAGTAGTTACATTGTTTTAGCTATTATTTACGAATGACAGACAAAAGACAAAAGGCCACAAAGGTCAAACGTAAACGCGAAGAATCTCTAACAAAACAGTCAATATTTGTGGAATAATAATATAGTCTTCTCTAAAAGAAGCATTTGAGTCTTGCTGGAGCTCGTTGGCAGATGAACACAACACTTCACCAAAATCGACCAGAAGACACGCAAAATTTGACAAATTTATATTTGGAACCCTATGACTACCGGATTCATTATGTAAACATTGATTTGCGTCATCAGTATGGAATTTATGTCGCTGAGTCGCAGACGTTCCTCCTCGTGAAACGTCCCCAGCGGCGAAGAGCGAGGAGAAACGGATGTTTTCGCAGGCTAAGTTGTCAGAAAGTTTTGAAGTAGAAGGCTAAGATGTCAAAGTAAGCGGCCAGTCCAGGGATATTTAATTTAAAAAACGCCATCCGTAAAGAAATGCCAAGCAGAGTATCTGGCCGATACTAACCAAGTACACGTTGATTTTTGCCGGCGGCCAGCTACTTTTGACAACCCCGAAAAGTCTATGTTAAAGGTCAAAATTAAATTCACATTAAAATTCTCTCACTTAGGTTGATTCTCAATTGTTTGGTCTCTTAGCCCTAATTATTCATGGATTAGGGTAAGGACACAAAGGAAAATGGAAATCAACGTTAACCTAGGTTACAAAAATTTGACCTCAATTTAATTTTGACCTGACAACTCTCCATTTTTAAGACACTTCTGAAGACACTCTTATTGCATTCTCAGAACAATAGCATCTTGAAATTCATTCGACCTTATCAAATACCATAATCAAAAATGGAAATGATGGTAAGATTAAGTGCCACAAATTTAATATTCATTATATATTGGTATTCAGTCTATTTTAAGCATCTTCAACTAAATACTTTTGAAAACACTAGACAAAAAATGAAAAAGACATGTGCAAATGTATTTTAAAAAAGAGATAATGGCTGTCCTGTTGGTTAAATATTGTTCAGCATACTTATATTCTTTTCAAAATTGACGCGAATTAATAATTAATATATATGAATGTGACTCAACGATAAAAAATCGAATTGACTTGCTGTAGACTAGAAGAAATAAGAAATAAGTATAGATTGAATAGGATGAGCTGAAGAGACGAAGATGTAAGTTTTACGTCATATTCACAGGCTAAAGTACAAAGAGAAATATTCAATTTCTTCTCGTGAGAGAGTTCGGCACACATCACATGAACCAAATACAAATTCAGGCGCGTATCAAAATAAAAACCACCCGTTAAATTTAATCCCCTGATAACCCGAAAACACACAAATAAACAGTGTGATACAATATTGTCGCCCTTTATTCATTCGATTGCAAAAAATGCAGGAAACTCCAATAAGCAGTTTAAGAGGATTGATGATTTCCGCGAGCGCCGACCATAATTAACGTTATAATGAACTCAAGTTATGCAATATAAAGAGAGCCCAATTTTTCTTATACTTTTGGCAAAGCAAATGCTCTGACGAAATGAGACAAAACACTCTATTTCGAATCTTAAAAAACTCGAAGAGATAAGAATTTTTCAAGGTAGTATCAAGTGTGAAAGCTGGATTTCTACCAGATAAGCTTCCGACTTCAGAGAAAATCTAAATCTGACATAAGCATTTTAAACATGTGGATTCAAAGGGAAATTCATTCAAAGATGTCACTTGTAAAAATAAACCTCCTTAAGACCAGCGTGGCAACTATAAAATCATCGCATCTTGACGACTGAGAGAGCTTTGTTTGACAAATAGGAACATTATGAACAGAGACGAGTGGTGATCGATTTCGTCTGCACAAGCAACTAGAACATTTCCGGAAGTACAGGCACAAATATAGACCAAGGAAAAAATAAAATACTTACTTATATGATCAATGGCTCCAGCACAGAACTGTCCAAAGAATTTCTTGGCTCCCAAGTTTTTAAGATCGACGATTAAAAACGGCCAAAGGTGCAGGACATTGTTGCGAGAGAATCGATCTCGCTTTTCTATGACAACAACATACGCACCCAGAAGAGCGGCTTCAATGGCGACACGCAAACCGCACGGTCCAGCTCCAATAACTAAGACTTTGTTCTTAACACAAGGCTTGCTTTTGTAGTCCTTCTGTTCGGCTCTTTTGTCCAATTTCGTCCACAGCGATTTACACTTCCAAGAAGTTAATTTGGACTTCAGAGAGGCATACAATGTCTTGTGATTTCGAGGGTTAACATCAACACTCTGACAGAGTTTTCGAAACACATCCAGCGTTTCAGCAAGATCACAAGATTGAAGAAAGGCATCGAATAACTCATAGGGTGTTAACGTACAAATTTCTTCCTTGAAAAAACCGTCTTCTTCATCCATGACAGAATGAAACGCTGACTTCTCCAAGATTACAAATATTTACGAGCCATTTGGCATTGGAGGAGTGGTTCGCTTTGAAGCTAGCTTGTCAACACTGTAATTTCCATGCATTATCAAGCTTTATCGCTACAACGATGGCTTCTTCCTGGGGCTCTTCAATTAATTAATCCAATTGATTCATTTCACAGAGGATTTACGTGTATCCTTGTAAAACCAAGGGAAACTTTATGCAATCGCTTTAGTCAAATAAACTTTCTTAAAACAAATACGAGCTTGTCAGCGGTCGCTTTGTTAAGTGTTTCCCATCCCCCCACCAGGATGCCCACGGTCTTTGTTTCTCGGTCATCACCGGAAATTGACGAAGATGCTATTTTTCGAAGGACAACATAGGGCAAATAGCGTGGAAACGTGATTGCCTTCAATCATATCCTAAGTATAATGTTTGCTCCTGTTTCAGATAGACAGCCCGGCAGTGGGAGCTTACAGAAAAATAAGATGCATTTTTAACCCTTGGTTATCGCTATTATAAATATTGTCTTCACAAGATCCACTTCCGGTTACATTCTTCGGATTTCAGCTGTCTGTAGTTTCTTTTTTTTTTTCGAACCAAAAAGTTTTTAAGTGGTTAAATAAGTCAAAAGACTTCAAAAAATAAAACAAACAAACTACAATTGTTGTAATGTATATTAGAACACCTTAGAAGGGTGATATTTCTTTAAATTTTGAAACACTGAAGTCTGAAAAACTTCAGGAGTCCATATCGACTAGCAAAATACATGTGCAATTGTTTACCGAAATATAAGGAATTTTTTTGACAGTTTCTTCTTAAATGAAAACTCTTGTGGTTTGGAAGTATATAAATACTAATTGCAGTTAAACCAATTGTTGCTATTATTATTCATTCAAAATATTTCGCCGTTTCTGATTGGCTCAAATCCTCCTTGTAACTCTGACCAAATTTGGAAGATGCGAGCAATATACCATCGATTCGATGGTATATTTGCTTGGAAACGAGGTTGATCGATGATATATTTGCCTGAAAATGAGGCTGCTTGGGCGATAGTGGACTAAAAAATGGCGTTCACGGCAGTCCGAAGACGAAATACCTGAATTTCTCACTAAAACTGAACGCCAGTAAATGCAAGAATAGGCGCAGAAAGTATTCCTGTGTCTGCAAGAAAAACATCTGTTTATGTCCTGAAACCGTACCGAGAAATAGTTTCGAAGAAGATCTATGCAGAGGTAAGCTTGTTAAGAACTTAGAAATATTATGAATAAATTAGGGGAGTGCCGCTTTCGTACTGTCCGCAGTATTATCCTGATCTCGGAGCCGGCTCTCACCCACTGACCCACCTTTGCCGATAACATTCTCCTCGATTTGCACAGTTCTTCACATCATACTTAGCCTCATTCAATAATTGTTAAAATAACATAAATAGTTAAGACTATCCCCAGAAAAAGGGACGAGAAACCAAAAAATCTAGGGACGAACTTGAGTTGTTGGCACGATTCGCTACTTTCACATCGCCCAGGATACTAATGGGCGTAGTTACCTGCAAAAGCCTTCGTAATTCACCATTTTCACATAGACCATAATATTGTTTACTAAAAAATTTTTTATAACCTTTGTCTTCGATTTCTCTTGGGACGACTGTTATATCCGGGAGAAATTGGAAACAACGGCTATGCCAAAATTTTTGGGGGTGAACTGCATTATGGTCTATGTGAAAATGGGGAATTACTGCTTGGAGAACACGGTCCTTAGAACAAGAGAAATTATAACCTTTTTCATCATAAGAATAAAAATTGGAAATTTAATGAAGTTATCCCGGTAAAAACGATTTGGGAGACGGGGTAGGGTTAATTTAGAAAACTGTGGTTACCACAGTACTGAAAAATTTCTATCGTCGTACCTCAACTACTTGTTTACACCCCAAATTCCGCATAGACATAGTCTTCCGTTTCTCTTGGGGCGACTGTAATACCCAGGAGAAATTGAAATCAATTTTCATGCAAATTTATTTTAGGGTTGTTGGCGGGGGGAGGGGGGTGGTAAACACGGTGTATTGCAAGCAATAGACCTTGCTCACGATATATATGTGTATGTTGAATCCGCAAATTGTTCTTTGCAGATTCACAAATTTCCACGTCCACATGTATCCGAGTCTTGCATGTAATCGAGTTTGCTCGTCCAAAAGCATCCGACACGTATCTGGATCATCCGGATCTTATCCGGATCCGAATTTACTCTTGTACCCAGGACTCCTCTGGGAATATTGGTATCATGCATAGAAAAAAAGAAACAGACAGAACGCGGACATACAGTTCACCAAGGAGATCGAAGAATATGGTAAGATACCTTTTCTAGACTGCTTGGTCACTCGCGACAACAACAAACTAAAACGACTATTTACAGAAAACCGACACAAACCGACCGATTACTAGACCAATCTTCGTACAACCCGACCTCTCAAAAGGCTACTACTATCCGGACTCTGACGAGACGAGCGCAACTAGTTTGCGACTCAACTGACAGCCTACAAGACGAGACTGATTATCTTAACAACGTTTTTAGTAAGAACAATTACAACACGGACTTTGTTAGACGGAACACTCACAGTAACACTGATTCCAACTCTCAGACAGTGACTCTGGCCCTGTTACGACAGCGACTATACCGTACATCAGAGGCACCTCTAAAACTATTGCACGTATATTACAACCTTACAATATACGTGTTGCGCACAAACCGATAACCACTTTACGACGACTGCTTACTAATGTCC